GCTGGAAATGTTGTTATATTATATTGCTCGTTTTTTTTTATCATTATGATTACTATCATTATTGCGAAAGTAAAAAACCCCTAAAAAAGTCTGAGGGTGCCCGAAGCCCAGAGACATGTTGTGATGATTATACAAAAGAAACCATGTACATCCGACAATCATCTGAGATTAGCATTAAAGAATATTATCGTTTGTAAGGCAAATAGTAATTGAACATCTTGTTTTCTCTTTCAAGTAATTCGGTAGTAGGTTTGAGTATTACAGCTCTCAAACTATCTTCGACTAAAAGATGGTAACAACAATCGTTACGATGGGACTGAGACTCAAGTCAATTGAGTAGATGAAATAAATAAAAAAAACATAATTTAGAGAAATGACACAAGATTCACAATTTGGTACTTAATGATGATGTTGTCTGAATGATAAGAAAAGAAAACTGACGAGAGGTGTACGTACATTGACAATATATCTTATTATTATTATTATTATTATTTATATGGTCCGTATCGTATTTTACAATAATAATGAAAATGACTTGCTCAGTTATTGGATTATACTCCATAGTAATGAGTCCACAAATGACCAATGAAGCACAAGAAAAAAGTGAACTTAACAAGCTGATATAACGATGATGATTTTACAGTAAGCCATTAGAAGGGAGATGTATGAGAGAGAAGAAGAAGGCATATAGTTTGGCTAGATGTGTTGAGCTTTTTTTTGTGGTTGATCATTACCAAAGGATCAAAGGTAGTTAGCAATAGAGATAAGTAGAGTCAGTACTCGTTATAGTAATAATTTAGCAGGGAAAAGACGGGGAGGAAATAGCTAAGCTTTAGAAACCTGGTAATGTTATGGACGGTTACGCAAGTAAAGCTACTATAGTATCATTCTTTTCAACGATTTGCTCTTTTTTGGAGGGATGTATTGTTAATACTGTGTGGATTTCCCCATTGGTAGTTCGGTTAATTTAAACCATATAAATATAAATTGAAGTTTCTGTATAATGTGGTGTAATCATTAATAGGTTTTGTAGTATAAACACTACAATTAAGTGAAATAAAAAGCAACAGCCAAACACTGGTTCCTTCTTGTTAATGAACCTGGCAAGTTAAAAATCTCCGGAACTGTTACACACCAGACACACGTACACTGCACACTCATACAGTGTAAACCAACCATTACACTACAGGGATTTAAATGGTAACAGATATAAACAATTGGTGTGGACAGACTAAAAGTTCAAAAAAGGGCAAAAAAAAGGGGCAAAATTCTTAATCGGCTCTAATTAGCTAGTTTTCTTCCATTGTCACTAGGATTGAGAAGAGAAGCATTTTTTTATGGGGAATATGTGCCATATAATGAGAGGTCTAGAAAAACTCGCAATAAAAGGTTCTCACTTAATGACAGAGACGGGAATATATGCCCAATTTTATTTAATATGTATTTTGAGCTAATTTTGAACTTTTAGTCTGTCCACACCAACTATACGTTACACACTTCAAGTTTAAACCTAGTAAGCATTATTATTGGCTGGAAAATAAGGACATTTTTTAAACCTCCCTGCTTAAATGTCCAAACTTCATCTTGTTTAAAGTTTTTTTTTTGCAGAGAAGTAGAAGAAGTCTCACCGCAGAGAGCTTGTAAATAGTAAAACGAGCAACTCAGCGGTAACAAAATTCAAAAAAGTAAGATCCCATAAAGCCTTATGGTTTTCTAATTTTACATATAAAAATTGTCGATTATAAAAAAGGTGCACCCTAGCAATAACTCACAAAGTGGAGTACGAGTTTCTATAACGGCAATTTGTAGGTTACTCTAAAGTGGTATGTGCGCTTTTTTGTTTGTTCAAGAGCACAAAAGAAAGTATATGTCTTTTGCTTGTACAAGTAGATACAAAATAGACCAAATAATTACTAGGGAATACATTCATGTATATTTCAAAACCATATTAAGCAATATGTAAAATGTAAAAAAAGAAAGCAAAAAGTATATAAGCATATTATCTGGATCTCAACACAATATGTGACGGGATTTTGAATTCAAGGTTGACTTTTATTGAAATGAGGTTATGATAGTTAAAGGTACAGAATATTCGTATCGACATTGCCATTTGTGACATGAATTTGGAAGTAATCTCAAAAACAAATTGGCAAGGATACACTATCCGAATAGCCAAGGAAGCAAATTAGGATACAGTACTGGAAGATGGTTATATTATTTTTTAAAAATAATAATTAGGACTTAATACAATTGAAATATTGATAGAATGTAAGGTACCCAAGCAGGATTGTGAAGGCTGTGTGAGTCACAGCATCTCATCTTACAGCAGATGTATTGATATGAAACAAAATCTTTAATAAATGTTCTTAATTTGTGGCCATTTGTTTTTGCGGTTGCGTCCAAATTTATGTCACAAATGGCAATTTCGCTACGGATATTTTGTATATACCAAATTTCCACTTCAAAAGTTTGGTTTTCGTTTTCAAACTATAGAAATAGCGAGATCAAATTTTACAGTGGAAATCCTGTAACAAAGAAATTTATCGGATTTAATGATTTCCTACTATATAACGCACATTATAATAGAGAAATAGCAAAAAGGTAAACGTGTAGCCTCAAGGACAAAAGAAGTTATTCCACAATCAGCCTAACAGTCTTAACGTTTCAGTCTGTTAGATGACCAAGAGAACGAAGTACACATAAAATTATAATCAATCGTTTAAACGTTTGTTCTATTGCTGTAAAGTACATCCTGTTTTTCTATAAGATATTCAGAAGAAAGCTTATAAAGTATGTGATGTATGAAACAAGGCTATGAGGGTAACCAACATGTTTGATACACTATGTATAAACTATACTATAATTGACATTGATCTTTGTCCAAATGTGCTTTAAGGTATAAACTGTGTCTTCTTTTTATTTTATTTATTTATTTTAAAAAAAAAAGGATATAAAAGAAAACATGGAATATACTACAGTTCTCAGAGAAAAATAATAATATCAAATGGGATTATGATGGCATTGTACGAGCTTTGTTCTTGGGAAAAACTTCCCAAACCTTTTATTTTTATTTTATTTTTCCTTATTTTATTAGCATGTTTTGTAACAAATCATTATACTTTAACCGTAGTAAATTATACATTTTAGTTTGAATTATGAGTAACCTAAAATATATATATACTTTGTTTGGTCTTCCTTGAATTATCATGATTCAATCTCTTGAATTTTAAAATAAGATTAACTCATAGTCATGGGACTTATTACCCCAGAAGATATCTATCAAACGTGGTCCATTTGTGGTGATTCTACTGGATACATTTTGTGTAGTTTGACCACAATAACAAAATCTTGAATGTTTAATGATCTATCATTATTTTCCCATAATACGTAAATTTATGCTACAGCTACAGCTAAGGAAACAAGGTTGGGCAAAAGAAAATAAAATCGGTCATTTCAAAATTAAATTCCAATATTTGTCTCGCAAATTTCATGGTGGAGGTCATTTAGTGAGTTTATTTTCCCCACTTCAAAACAAAACATAGGATAGCCAGGAGTCTCTTCTTCATACTTACTTAATAGAATAGGCCTCGGAAAGCCAAGTTTATTAAGCTCTATGTCTCCTGGATTTCTTAATATAATGTTTTCAACTTATAAATCCTCGCAGCTGTGTTTGAGTTTTTATCTATTTTTGATTGAGTTTTACCAATAATTATTTTTTAGCCATATTAAGATTATCACAACTCGACACCCTCTCTATTAATATAAATATTATGGTAATTTTTCTTATTTTATCTTAATTTCTTCTTTGTGCGTGTGCTTGCCCGTGTGTCTACTCTTGTGAGCTCCTTGATTTGGTTTCATTAACGGTCTTTGCTCTCTGTGGTACAATAGACTGATGATATATAGAATATAAATATTTGTTTTCTAAAGAGCCTTTTTCCAAACTCTGTCTATTTAAGGCAATTTAAAGAAGTCTAAGAAGAAAAAAAGACAAACATAATATATCACTTGAACAAAACTGAAAGGGATATGAAGCAGTTGCTTTTTCTTTTTGCTGTTTCAGCAAAAACCAGTAATTAATTTGGCCTAAAAAGAAATTATTTTCTTTAGTTTCTGAACGTTTCATGATCTCTTTAAATCAAACGTTTTTTTTGTGATTTAAGAATTATAAGAGTTTGTAATACCTTGGTCTTTAAGAGTTTTTTTTAAATAAACTTCTTTTTTTTATATAGTAATGTGTTTGTCATTTTTTTTATTCTTTGTGGATCAAATTTAAGCTTGCATTATTATCAAGGTTACAAATTAAGAATATTTAAAGTATTGGATGTCAGAATGTTGGGACACTAAAATATTACCTAACTTAGCTTACAATAATAGTAATAGTAATAGTAGCAGTAGTAGTAAATATGTGTTGATAATGAGAGAGCAGTGCTAGTACAGATATAACTCAATCGAGAGGATAATTTTTATTTGATTTATAGGTACAGATTTTTTAAAGATGATATAATATGCTATTAATAAGAAGAGTAGAATATAAAAGAAGTATTAGGAGGTATTATGGAATATATATGAGAGAGGGACGGAAAGTAGAGGAGTAATAGTATGTATGTTTATGTTATGGTATTAATAATGGAGAAAATTTAAAGTTTTGGAGATTCTGGTTCACTTGTATCGTTACGGAAAGCAAGTGTTCGAGTGGCAGCAAGGACAGCTTCATCTGAGCTCCAGTGGAAGAAAGGATAACGATCCTTGGGAATTGGAATAGACCGACCGGTAGAAATACTCTGAGTATCCACCGAGCTCTTGAAGTCCTCCCCGTTCTTCTCATATACTTCCAATACATCCTCAACATCACCATTACCGTTACCAGCCTTCGCTCTTCGGTCTTCGGCGGGTCTCTGTCTGGGTCCATCCTTGGATGCAGGAACAACTGGCAGGATCTCTTGGTGAACGTTCTGAGTATGTTCGCCGTTAGAGCTACCATCGAGTCTTATCTGGTTTCCAAAGCCAGCAACGATGAGGGACCGGCGGATAGAAGGTTGAACAAGGTTTGTGAAATGGAACTCGACATCGTGACCACTGTAACGGTTCAAGGTGTTTTTGGCATCAGCGATGGATTGAAGACCACTAGAATCAAGACGATTGACACTAGAAAAGTCGATGATCAAGGCGTGTAGAATAGGCAATTGACTGCGGGCAGCTTCTTTAACAGGGTCAGCATCATCGTTCCATGCACGGTCACCTTTAGAAATAACAGCACCATGGCGACGGGTATTCTGTTTGGCATATGTGATGATTTTGTCGGAAATGAAACTAGAATTGGGATATGTCACGGATTCTTCGATGCGGCACATTAGAATACCGGCAGGTAAGTCTTCAACAAGGGGACCAAGGGATGGGTGGTTGGTGGGAACATAAAGGTACTTTTGGATTTCTTCTGATTCCTGAACCTTCTGGCTGGTATTTGATCCGGTGCTTGTTGACAAAGGAACACGACCGAGACCCCAGAACCGGGGGCGTGCGATACGGAAAAGGAGAATGACGATCGAGAGACCAAGTGAAACGTAGATACCATACTCGACAGAGGTAAAGAACGTAATCAGGACAGCTGCGACAAATACAAACAATTCCCACAAGCTGACTTTTGCAAGACGTTTGATGTAAGCAGGACCGGACACGAGATCAGCGACGGCGTGGATGACAACAGCTGAGAGAGTGGCATCAGGAATGAAGTAGAAAGCTGGAGTGAGAGCATACAAGGCCAGGAGTACTACGAGAGCAGAGAAGATACCAGCAATTGGAGTCTTGACACCAGATCGAGCTTTGATAGCAGTACGAGAGAAAGAACCAGTAGAAGGATAGGCGCCAAAGAAAGCGGCCCAGATGTTTGTGAATCCAATAGCAATAATTTCCTGATCTGGGTTGATCTGGTAGTCGTTGATACGTCCGAATGATTTTGCAATTGCTACATGCTCAAGAATAAGAATGATGACAGCAGATGGAAGAGAGCTAGCGATAGCACTGATGAGTTCGGTTGTCAAGACAGGAACATGCATGGCTTGGAAACCGGCTGGAACAGTCTTGAGAATACTGATAGGACTTGTGGTCTTGCCGATGTTGATCAAAAAGGCAATGAGGGTACCGAAGATGACGAGGATACCGTTGCGCATAATACTGAAGTAAAAGAGATGCTTTTCGTATTTGGGATAACGGGTGGTGAGTTTCTGGCAAGCGAAACGGATACCGTACAACCAAAGCAGACCAGTCAAACCAAATGCAACATCTACTTGTGTATTTGGAAGGTTTTTGAAGAAGTTTCCGAAAATAAGATAGGCAGAGTCCTGTGTGTTGATACCCTTGATACCAAAAAGTTTTGGACACTAAAAAAAGGGGTCAAAGGATGAGCACAATCATTAAACAGATTATAGTAAATAGATCTTACCTGTCCAATAGTAATTGTGATAGCTGAACCTGTCATGAAACCAGCAATAGCAGGGGCTAATAAAAGAAATGAAACGTATGAGAAAAACTCTAATATCTATATATCTTTGTTATGCATACCTGGAATGAAATCTACAAGAATACCAAGGCGTACAAGACCAATAAACATAGCAATAATACCAGTCATAAGAGAGAGAACTACAGCAACTTGAGGCCCAGTGATGCTAGGATATTCGGTGGTCACGCGAGTAACAGTCTGTCCTACGAGTAGAGACATTACAGCTACAAGACATCAAGATGGTTAGTAAATGATAAATTGATTATTATCATTAATATTTCACTCACCAGTTGGACCAATACTAATATCTTTAGATGTAGCAAACAAGCAGTATACACAGAGACCGACAAACGCAGTACTATTGAAATGTGTAAGTTAAAAATGCTTCGAATAGAATGAGATAACTTACTAAAGACCATATTGAGGGGAAAGCATGGCTAATTTTGCATAACCCATACTCTGAGGTACAATAACAACACCAACAGTGGCACCAGCAATCAGATCACGAACAAGCCACTGGAAGTTGTAACGGTGAATCCAGGTTACAATAGGGAACATGCTGAAAAAATAGTTCTTCGTATATCCCGGCATCTTCTTGACGAAATTCTTAGCCTGAGATTTGTAAGGTTCTTCATCGTAGTCAATTACAATTTCAGCAGTCATTGTAAAGGAAGAAAGGAAGAAAGATGAAGTATAAAGATAATTACAAAGATCAAAGTTTTACGGTTTTCTTATATAGTGTCTCGATGTCAAAAAAAAAACACCAAAAAAAAGGCATCACACCAGTGTTCTTGTACGACTATTGCGCCATCGACTTGCTCTATTACATCTTATGCATTATACCTTCTCTAAATAGGACGCCGACCGAAACGATTACAACAGATCCTTAAGGTCTTGCTAGTTCTTTAAAGATTCGTTCACCAATCAGACCTTTGTGGTCCTACCACTTGAGATAAAATAGAAAGTAGGACGTTATCCGACACACATGTCTTTGCTTTTCCATTATATTTCCTGATCGGGGACTACTGATCTACCTGTTTAACGTTTACTTCTCTGTACTCTCTTATTCAGTGCACACTATTGTTATTTTTTATACATATATATATATATATATATTAAAAAAAAAGCACAAAAAAGAAAGAAGATTTTATTCAAAGATTTTTCTATGTTGGTCATACCGTAACTTCCTGTACCTGCGTAACTTCTGATCTCTAATATACAATCCAATTATTTTTTTTTATTTTATTTTTTGAGCCAACGCAATTCAATCTACATAATTTTTGTATTTCTATAATGGTCACTTTAGTATTTATCTTTGATAAAATCAAAAATGGTAACATTATTATTTTGGTTTATTTTTTCTATAGAAAACAGCAAGAAGAAGAGGACAAGGTAAATCTGTCTTATAAAATATCCTTTTCAATCCATGCTTATTGGTCTTAATTTGATTTTCCGATATATTTTTTGTAAACAGTAAGCAGTAACTGGTTAACTTTTTATTCTAATAATGTATCTAATTGGATTGTGATTGGATACCAACCAAGCTCTACTCCCCTTATATCCCAAAAATACCAAGTTAATTCTAAAATTTGAAATATTTATAACCTGCCCGGTGGAATACCAATAGTTTGAAAGTCTTTATCATTATTATCAATCATCTAATGATCGGTGTAATACTTACATACTATAAGCTCTGAAATTGGCTTATATTCTTTTCTTACTTTCTTCATTTTGGACATCTCTTTTTTGGCTCTGATTTTATCAGCAGATTAGTTTGATATCTTTTCTTTTTTTTTTGAGCTTTTGTTCAATCCCCTTAACTAAGGTATGGGATTTCAAAAAGCTAAATCTATCATATTAATCATTCTATAATACAAATTTACTAATTGATTATGGCCAGTTTACTTTAATGAAATAAAGTCCAGAAAAAGGGTTAGTCTTGAGCAAGATGGTGTATTTAATTCTGTGTTACCTGTTTGTTTGTTAAAAAAAAATAAGCACGTACAAGCACAAGCACACACTATAAATATTTTATATATAAAATATTAATTAATAATCTCAAATTCATATATTTACTGTTTCAATTTACTTATTTATATATATATATTATAGCAGTATTTTAAAAAGTTTAAAAAAGAGAAAGAGAAAGAAAAAGGCTCAGATCATATTAATAAACTTAATTGTTTGTCATTGTTTTCTCTTTGAATTTTCTTGATCAGTGAGGTATGTCTTTAAACCACAATCTAAAGTATCTTTACCCTTTCTTCAAACGATTCAATAGAATGCCTCCTTATTCTGATGACTCGATTAACAGTTGTTTCCTACTCATGTTTCGTTGGCTTTTTTCTTTGTTCATTTATTTAGCCAAGATATATTTTGTATATATCTCTCTCTATATAAAAAAGCATCTGTATTTTATTTCTTTATTTCTTTACAGAACATTCCCGGATAAATAGCAAGTTTATATGAACCCACATTATATATCAAAAACCATTTGACATACCTATAGTTTGTTAATATTTTAATAGTTTATTATTGTAATAAGCCATTTATCCTACTTGTTACTTAATTACAAGCACTGTAAACTTAAAGAAATACATACCTTATTTCTAATATTTATATATTCAAAAAAATGTGTAATGTTTTTTTTTCTTTAAAAAAATACATACTTTTAACATTACCTATTATAACATTCTACCTCATAAAGCTCATTCAGTTATTTAAAAGTCTAACAATAAAAAGTGCAAGTTTAGAGCTATACTTCTCAAGGTATAACAAAAGAATACCTTATAACTAATACATACATATACGTACATGTTTATTTGTTTCAAAATTTCATTAAACTTTTATCATCATTGATTATCCTAACATATATTCTCCTGTCGGTACTTTAATTAGTGTGACTCTCCTATAATTCTGGGGGGTGTTGATCATCAATTAAGAATTGCCTACAATTGTTTGAATACCCTTTTTTATTTTTAATTTTTATTTATATTTATTTATACTTGTATATTTTGGCTTCTACATTAGTAATACAAATAGTCATAACCACAACTGTGTTTTATTTAAATGGCAAGCAACGACAGTTATATTAATTGGATTCTTCAAGATGATCCCGAAGACAATCCACAATTACCCAACCAACAATCCTCACAAACATTTCAAAACTCTGCCATAATAATTCCGTCTGAGAATCCTCCTTCCCTTACCATCCCATCAGATCTATCCACCGAGGACTTGTTTACCTATCTTGATGACCAAACTGATCCCAACTTTCCTACCCATTTTACCGAGAATCCACAGCTACAGCAGACGTACACCTCTATCCCAGACACTATAGGCTCATACACTATTCCTGTGTGTGACTCCGCCTCCTTGGACCAATATACACCTCTGCCAATCAAGGCATGCGAACACGAGGCAAAAGGAAGCTCTAGCCCATCTGATGAAGATGAACCCACTCCTTCTCAATGGAAAATGATGACTTCAAAGGAACGTCGACAGGTTCGCAATAAGATATCTGCACGCAATTTCAGAAACAGGCGCAAGGGTGAGTAGACTCTTTTCTTTTTTATTATTATTATTAATTTGTTGCTCAATTGATGAAAATTATGCTCAACTACTGTATATATTTATATTTGTAGAATACATAACTACGCTTGAGAACAAGGTCGAGCAATACAAGGCAGAAAATAGTCAGCTTAAGCTTGAAGTGCGATGGGTGCGCACAACCATGAAACGAATCCAAGAGGAGAATGATCGTCTGAGAGTCGATTTGATCCTCTTACAAGCTGGTATTCAGCCTGGGAATCATAATCCTGGCCAGTCAAACAGCAATACAAATAATATTAGTACTCCATGGAACAACACCAATATCCCACTTCAACAGGCACCCCTACTGTCTTCACCTTCATCCAATGGAACCCTTATCCAACAAGACGCTTTGACTTCTTCAGACGATGCACTTAATCAATGGGACTTTTTCCTTCCTGCAACAAATACAACTTACCTTTCCCATGCCACATTCCCATCAATTGATCTCAACGCCATCCTTTCTGAAAAGGACCGTGCCACTCTATCGACCATGCCACCCAGTCAACTCTTTACTCGCTATCCACTACTAGCGCCCGCCTTGATGTCAATTGTTTTAGAACACACGATGCGAATGAACACCGAAGAATTTCTGACCAGTTCTCGCCTATTGTTACCTCCACCTCCACCTTCACCTATAACCGAGAATCCAGCGACCAAATCGCCCTTATTCTTTTCTTTTACTGACGAGCTGTTGTTTGCCCCGAAATTCGGTTCAGGACTTCTTCCTCGTCCTACACAGCCAACTGAAAAGGATATTCAACGTATATGGCACGCAATATCCTCTAAGCCAACTACTTACAACACTATCCGCCTTACAGCCGAGGCTGATACGACCGCAACACCACCACAAACAAGACAATCAAAATGCCCACTTTCATGGGTCCAAAAGCAGTTTTGTCGATTTGTAATTAACTATGTTATCGTGAGATACCCACAATTGGATGCTCAGTGCCGCACATATCTTCCAGTATGCGATACATATAGATTAAAGCCGATTACTTTACCATTGACCAGCTCTTAAACACACCACTTGGCTTTTAAATCTCTATTTTTTTCTTGCTCCCCCATTACACCCTACTCCTTCAAACTCTTCCACCCTTTTCTCGCATACTGTAAATATGTCTATTTTCTTTCTTTATCCTGTTTCTTTTTGTATTACTTATTTTCCTCTTCTTTTTCTTTAATTGTATTTTTTGGAATACCATCAAAATATTCCTCTTTCCCTTCGTTCATATTTTATTACCACTTATTATTATTACTATTGTTATAGTTTTATATAAAAATCAATTGTCTGTTTTTTTTACAAAATATTATGGATTATATTTATAATTATAATTATATACATGTACTATACTGTTATTACTGTTGTTGTTGTTTAAGAAAGAAAAAGAGAGGCTGTGAAAGTTGGTTGGTTTTCAATATAGTGTGAGATGTGTTGGTGTACTTGGTCCTACTCCTTCATTATTGTCGTCTTTTGGATGATAATACACGCTGATATTACTACTGCTACTACTAGTTGAACTTCTCAGAATTCCTCCTTCTCTTTCTTCTGAGCAAGATTTTCGTCGTTCCTGTTCTTCGTAAACCCTGATATGCATCTCGGCTCTGCGCATATCAATATAGCCAATGATAATCAAAGGTAGGAATTGGCAGATTGCGCAAACGATGAACCCTTGTCGAGCATTGGTAGTTTCTGTGATACTGCTGACTACGAGCGGTCCGAAGAATTGGGATAATTTTCCGGTTATACCAAACAAACCAAAAAACATGTTTTCATGCCCTGTTGGGATAAGCTCTGACCTATATATATATGTATGTATGTATATGTATAATAGCAACCCATTTTATTAGTTTCTTTGATTCAATTCAATTCGACTCGATTTGGTTTGATTTTATTCGATAGCTTAATTTTTCTTAAAAGAAAACCTTACATCATCGTTTGGGAGTAAGCGTAGAATGGAGCTGTAAAAAGCCCAAACCAGGCTTGATAGACCCATAGTTCACCCACCTGGCGAAATCCAACAACCGAGCTTTTGATGCCAATACATCCCCAGACCGGAATCAGAAGTGTCATACCAATAGAGATCAGCAGCATTGTTTTTGCTGACCAGCCAAGATACTTCTGGACGTACAGGAATACAAAACAGCCGATGATTGAACATACTGATTGGACAAGATTGAGATAGGTTTGCAATACACCATCGAAATTGGTGATTCGGTTCGAAATTATCTGTGTGAGAGTATTTGTGCTACTTATGGCATCATTTAAGAGAAAATAGCCAATCAAGTAGGCAAATGTCTGGGGTAGTCTTTTATACTCTTTCAAAGCTGATCCAACTATATAATATAATATTAGATAATATGATTCAGTAAGAATACGTGCATGTAAATATATATGAAAGAAAAAAGTAATTGCCTCTTTTCCAGCCAAATGTCAAGTAGTTTGCTTCGTCTGGTAAGGGAGGACCAGGTCTATGTTTTTGGAAAACAAACCATGGAATCGAAAATAGTAGCCAGTAACCTCCACATATGGCACTAAAGATCGAATTCGAATATGCTGGTAAACTTTGCCAGTCGGTGTGATAAGCTGCAGCCAAACCGAACCCGGTGCCGATGAGTATGATTGAGATACTAAAGAAGCCAATGTTGGACCATGCAGTAGATACAGTTGAGATGTGGTTGCGCATCATAGATTCTATTACTTGGTAATCTGGGCTATCTACCCCTAATTCATGGCGCGCAGTCCGAACCTTTGAGTCATTGGCTGCCAGAATGGGGAAATACGCCCAATAGAATGTAAGCGAGGCTCCATAGGACACTTGGAAGATCAGACAGACTAGCATAGCTAAACCCCAATAATCACCTACAATAAAAGCCAATGTTGTTAGTGATCTTTATAGATATGACTGAATGTATAACAGGATCTGATCCAGAATATTATTACTTGAGGTTTCATTGAAAACCAAGAAAACTATTTGAGATGTACATGAAACAACTGTAATAGCCAACAGAATGTTAGGTCCATTGTTGCCATAATCGGCCAGAGAACCTTAAGATAAATAGAAATACAAACAATAATATCATTAAAACACTTGTTGATTTGAGCCCAAGTGCCTGTTGATTTTTACCAATGGTTGTCAGTAAAAGAGTCTGAACAAGTGAACTTAGACCATTGAATAGTAAGATGATGCTATCAACCTTGAGATTCGTGTTGCCGAGTTGGATCATACACTGAGTGTTCATTCCACAAGGAGAATCAATTGAGTTTTGTTTTAGTCCGGCAGGATTCCAGCCCTTCTGTTCAATGAGGTATTGTACCATGTTTGGTAGATAAGTGTAATTGTTTATCTATAGAGATAAATAAATAGATACATTGAATTGAATTGAATTGAATTGAATTGTGAGTACATTTCTAGATGAGATTGATCTGGACACCCGTGTGGATAATTACCCCATTGTTCTGTTAGATCGAGATGTGTATATATATATAAAGTATTATAAAAAAGTATACAGGCTTTTTTGGTCAGAGAGGTTGATTATTTCTTTAGTCGTTTTGAAATACTTGCTCCATTACTGTTTTTTTTTGTGTGTGTCGTATATGATTTAAATGATTATTATATTAGTCGATATAAATGAAATAATATATATATTTATTTTATTATATTATATTATATTTGAAATGAGGAATAGGTATACTTGCTAGTATAGATAATAAGACCATCTCTCCAATACGGTGGTTTGTGGGACCTTTTCCCAGTCTGGTATATTACGATCGCTATCTGTGGATCCTCGGACTTGGTCATTCTTTTGGGATTCTACAAGGGTAAAAACCTTGTTCCAGTTCAGACCTCGAAACTTTGGCATTTTACTCTTAATCTTATTTAATGAGGTAAGATAAACTAAAGAAGAAAAGAAGAAAAGAAGGGAACAAGAAGCAAAAGGGTATGATATGGGAATTATTATTTCTCTGTTATTATGATAATTATTATTATGGCTTCAAAAATATATATATAAAGAAAAACAAACAAAAGGGATTTGCCAAGAGTTTGCGGCTCTAATATATATATATATAATTTATGTATATTTGTATAGTTTATTTCTTTTTGTCTTGGGTAACTTTTGTCTGATGACTTATACAGAAAGCGTGAACATTTGTGTATGTGTTTTTTTTTGTTCTGATTTGGTAAGAAGACCGGTTTTTTTTCAAGATGGCTGAGGTGCAGATTCAATGACCTCTTTAACCTAGCTTTAGAGTTTCACTGAGCCAATAGTAATAATTATAAAATAAGCCGTATATATATATATATATATATAATTCATTAAATTTTTTATCATCAAAGCAAAAAAGTAAATGTAAAGATAGTATATGGTATCTATAGATTTGAGAGCTACGTGCTATACAGAGGCATATCCACCACCTCGTCGATTGGAAGACATAGAGTCCATGACATGGGTAATTAAATCCTAAAAGTAGAAGAAAAGTCATTAGTTTGACAGATACTTTCTTTGATTCTGATTCTGTAATAAACTTGCCTTGATTAAATAAGGAAGCTCAATCCAGAAGTCTGTAAAGTGCAATGTTCAGTGTGCAGTAAAATGTATAATGCACAATGTGTTTTTATAGATTATCAGATTATCAAGATTTACATGTAAACAAAATACCATCACTAAATCTTGAGTTTACTTACCACGGTGAGGGAGTAGATCAATACCACGGGCATTGTAGACCTTGTAGTTATACAGAGCATAACCTCCAAAATATAGTCCTATCAATAAACCGACGCTAGTATATCTCTGGTTAGGTTTGTGTCCGTATGACGACTGTATCGAGACTTTTTCTTTAAGACTTACAAGGTGAAGAACACACCGATGCTAGACATCCCTTCATTTATATCCTTTGGTGGTACATCTTTATCTTTTGATGGCTCATCTTCTGATGGCTCATCTTCTGTTGGCTCATCTTCTGTTGGCTCATCTTCTTTAGGGATCTTTTCTTTTGGCTGAGCTCTAGAAAGAAGAATAAGAAGAAAACACCGAATCAAAGACAGTCGATTTTTCTGTTAGTAATGACAGTAGTTTTTTGCTTTTTTGCTTTTCTGCTTTTTGGTAGACAAAAGAGCACACATGTACTCACCCACATGCAAATACAGTCTTCCAATGGACAGCCAATACATTGCTTTTAAAAGACACAATCGTAGGTTCATTTGGGTCTTCCTGTTTAATAAGTAAATATTTGATCTGACATTGGGGTATTGTTATCATACTGTACTTTTGTAGGCTGAGATGTGTCACATTCGAGAGTTATCAGGGCAGATAGTGATTTGTTATTAATATGTTCACCGCCAAGGCTAATAGATAGCTGTGCACCGTCTATCATCATTTAATTAGAATTTTAGTGATGATTGTTATCAATACCAATACATCAACCTTTTATTTTATTTTATTTCATGGCTTACTTTGTGACAGATCCTGCTCTGTATTATTCGGTACTTCAACTGTAGCATTTAGCTTGGATCTTAAGCATCCAGTAGAAGAATAAGAAAAATTATTAAACATCATTCTATAGCATGTATATAAAGAACACCATTACTACCCTTCGAATTCACCAGCAATAGCTTGTACATGAGTAACTCTATCGCTCCCTTTTTTTGTATTAATTACACGTCTACAGATATACTAAGATATATAAAAGAAGAAGGAAAGGGAGAAAAAGATAGACTGTAAGTCTACAATATCAATCAACAACAAATGAAGATAAAAACATGCTCACAGTTCTATCTTTACAAAAGTCTTCTTCGTCGACATCACTAGGTCTATTCAAGGCGTCACATATATTGATCTCTGTCTGAGTAGAAGTTATTGTAGGATATGTTGTCTCATTATGCACAACAACAAATGGACTATATACAATTCATGATACCAAAAATAAATAAATAAATAAATAAATGAGTGAATGACAAAACGTGGGCTACATGCAACAAGATTATATTACTAGTGTAATCATTACCGATTCAACCTGGACAGATCCAGTTCCCAGATTCCATTAGATTCTAATTTGTATCCACTTTTACAGTAGTCTTGGATGCATAATACGTATGTACTAAAGTACAGCACTGATATAAAAATTGGTATATAACGCATAATGTTTAGTAATGTGTAATTCAATATGGAATCTTCGTTTCTTTGTTCAAAGGGGTAATGTGACGTGTATCAGCCAGTCAGCCAGCCAACCAGTCCGGTGGGTTAGGTAGGTCAGTCAGTCAGGCACAAGAAACTTGCAGGATTTCAACTAGGAATGTCTAGCTCCGACTTTTTCAAGAGAGGACCTCAAAATTTAGGGGAGCAGTAACAATCATGATCCACTTATCCATTGCCTTTTTTTTTGTTTTCTTTGTTAATAGCAGTATATCTTTAAAGATATATAAAATGAGTAATATGCATATCAATTACAACATCTAACTAACCTCATTATTATCAATATCAAAAGGCCTTTCTTTAACTATTGGTTGTATCCAGGCTTAAATACAAAGATTTCATTCAATAGTAATAATATTCTATTAATAGGATAATATTAAGCTTCAAATGTATTAAAATCATTAAGAAATTTAATTAAAGCACAGTGTTTATCACAACCATATGATTCTGTTTTTTTTGGTACTATTAGTCTCTCACTAGTACTCTTTATCATCTTTTTTATTATTCTGTAGTGTGGCTATTTAAGATATATATAAAGAAGAAGCCATATATTATATATGCATTGATATATAATAAATTTGAGGGATAAATAGATGAGGAGCGAAAAATAAAAGCAAAAAGCAAAAAGTAGAGTGAGAAATATTTGCCATTGGAATCACCAACCCCCCACAAAGCAAGATACAAGATATTTTTGCTGACCCAGTACACATTAAGAAAATGAGTATCGCCAAAGACATATTCCCATTGAGAGCGCCATCTTGCATGTGGGCGTGACGACCATCCGGAATATCTTGAAAAGTCGGGTTTGGTTGTGTCCAACAGCCACATTCCACACAGACAAATGTCAAACAGTCATGCTATATTTAATGCACGCCTTTTTTTGGAAGGGTAAGAAAAGAAAGAGTAAATGAAATAGCATTACAGTCAGAACTATTGTGAGAAAGTGAGCACAATAAGGCTTACCTTATCCACCAAAGGACTCTTCCAACAGTTATCACGACCATAATTTAGAATTATACTCTATTCCAAACCACCTCCGCCGAGCAAGTGTCAACACTTGTGTAGTGGTCGAGGAAAGCAAGTTTCTGTAGGAAAGAGCAAATGGTGGGATTTGTTGGAGCTGGCGGTTTTTTCTATCAAGGAAATTTTCAAGAGAGAAAGGAATATTTGCAGTAGCTGGTAGAATAAAAGTCTCTAGCCAGATGATGTCAAGCATGAGGGCAAAAACACATGTTCAACGTCAAATGTTTTGAAAGGAGGATATTTAGATAAAACTGCGAGTTAAAGGGCTTAACATCAAATCTTGATCTCGTACTCGAAAATTGCAAAGTCTTAAAGTTCCTGATGCTCTTTTAAAAGAAGACCCTTCTCATTTTATCCGCTGCTCAAATACATCTTTCATAACATAACAAAAAGAGATGACCTCAAACTATCTACAGGCACTATCAAGACAAAAGGGCTTTATTTTCCCAAAGGAGAATGTCATACAACTAATGATATTACTTGAACAAATTTAAATGAAGGTCAAGCTAGAAGTCTCAAAAACTATCTTCTTCTTCTTTCTTTCTTTCTTTCTTTCTTCCTTATACCTTTCAAAGTTACTTTAGTCTAATCGTAAAATAAGATTCATTGCGCCTGAAAAAAAAGTGAGCGATTGGTTTAAAATCAAGCCATGCGATTAGTATCTTGTAATTGAATATATATAATAATTGAGAAAAAGAGCACCTGGAGATGTGTTTATGGAGCTAAGGGTAAACTCTGCCCTAAATATAACTCCATATTATACGAGCACACATGTATACATACATACATACATACATACATACATACATACATACATACATACATACATACATACATACTTACTTACGTAAGGTGCTTAAAGATTGATGGATCAACATGAAAGAAAAAGCCAATTCACCATATTTAGAAATCCTACAAGTCCAGAAAAGTTTATTCATTTATGAAATCCATAAATGATGACCTTGCAGAAAAACAGGGACAAAATCTTTCAAATGGGAAAAACATATGGTATTTAATCATGGTTTCTATCAGTACTTCCCCATAAAAGATATAGATTCTTTCTTTATTCTATTGCTCTGTCTTATTCATTTTTCTCTTGATCCCTTGTTTGCCTTATAAGCTGGTATAAGTAATTATTTATATACGAGCCTGTATTTATATACTATTTCTAAAATAGGCGATTGATCTATTTTTTGCGATTGATTCATCCTTCTGTGATCACCTCTTGTACATTGTTACATAGAATTATACCTCTATATTTTCTACTCAATTTATTCATATTATAATTAAACTTATCTATTTAATTTTTCACCTTCTTTTCATCGATTTTGTACAATTTTACCTAACCAATAGCTTGAACTATCAAGGTGTATTTTATTTCATTTTGGTATATTTCTTTCGCCTAAATTATGCACTTTTCTAAATATTATTTAAGCGTGTCTTATTATTGCTGTTATTCTTAAGTCTCATTAAATCTATTTGTCCCCGTAAGGCACCTATAGAAATAAGAGTCTGTACCAAAAGTGTGACATTATAAACCTAATTATAGTATAGTAATAGTAATGGTTTTACCATATCACATAACCTTTTATATTACTAAGTTGTACAATAGCTATCTATAGTGAAGATGAGAAAAGACTAGTTTAGGTAACTAAATGCTAGAGAGACAAATGTAGAAAACTTAATACAGATGATGTTTATTAATTGTAATTGAATAGAAGAATTTATACTAGAGGAGAAGATACTCGTATACAAGGAATGTGTGTATGTATGTTTGTATGTTTGCATATCTAGCCTTGCTTATATCGTAGCAGCAATAACGACAGCTAACAAACAAAGAACATATAATAAAGAGAGAGAAAGATATATACAGCAAACAGATACACAGATAGAAGCAATGGAAACGGCCAGAGCAACTTGTGCTTGCGGAGATAGCAGCGGGACTTATCCTTGGACACAACAGTTGCATACAATATAATACATCTTTCTCACGTATTACATTCAGTAAAGAGCAGAAGTTCTCTTCTCCCAAAGACAAAAATCACAGGGATCAGATAGTGCTACCTTGAGACCATTAAACCAGGCTGAGTGTGAGCGTGAGCGTGGCTTGTGTTGATTTTCTTAATTATGTATATAAAACAGTTCAAAGCTTACACTTGGCACTTCTCTTCCATTCCATTCCATTATCCTCTCCTCTCCTCACCCTGCCTTATCAACAATGGCAGCAAGATTACCTGACGGCGTTCTGAACATAATTCTCAGTGAACTAGGTCAAAGAGATATAAAGGCATGCTTTGGTGTATGTAGAAAATGGAACACGATCTTTGTCCCTGATACTTGGAAATTCCTTAAAATTACGGAAAAAGATAAACTTCTCGCTCTCTGTAAATTGCTCATAACACCTACAGGAGAGGCAAAAGACTACGACTATGTAAAAAGGATCGAACTTCCACACCCCCTTGGCGTACTCGAAGCGGTCCTGCTTATTCAACAAAAGTTCCCTCACATAACGGAACTCGATACTCATTTCAAAAACTTGTTCAGACGAGAGCCGATTGAAAAGGTTGCTTTTAGCCGCTGGGCGTCTTTAACAAATCTGCGATTCAGTGCCATCTTTGATTACGGTAGAGACTGTATGGATGCTTTCTTTAAAGGATTGCTGGATTTACCCCAGCTAGAGGTTCTGACATATGACGCCAAGCTGAGGAGTATACCAGTCAATTTTGAAGATCTCGATATCATACACACAAATGCACCACAGCTAAAGATCCTAAACATCTATATCATGATCATCCACTTATCTGAGAGAGACATCGAGCTTCTAGAAACACACGATCGGATGTATCAGCTAGAAGAAGTCAATATACAGCTGCTTTCTGATGATTACCGATCACTGGCTTACCTTGCAAGCAAGTACCCAACAATGAAAAGCCTGGATTGGGAATATAGGGAGAGATCTGACTTGGAGCAATATTACCGTGAAGTACCCGAGCTGTTCTCCATAAAAGAAGATTACTTTGAAGAAGCCCAGTCATTACTTTTGGGTATGGAGGAAAAGCCATTCCAACAACTGGAAGAATTTGGCCTAACCTGCGACGAATCTGATTATGCTCCCAGACTCCGGGTCTTAAATCTTCTCAATACGCTCGATGTGCCGTATACCAGTTTCCATATCGAGAAGATTAATAAACTGCATTATGTACCACCCAATAATGAACTGCTCGAAACTCTTGATCAACTGCCGTCAACAATCACAGGCATATCTCTGAACTGGAAGTCATTAAATAATGACTATAAACAAGCTTTACAACAGCTCGGCTTGTATGATTCCTTGTCGAGTTTAACTATCGTTTCTAAGTTTCTCAAAGTTGAACTGGATGTCCTGTTTAATACCTGCAGAAACCTAAAGTCTTTGTCGCTCGATTGTCGTATCTGCATTTCTGACGATTACCTAGACACAGATCCGAGCTTCCAACTCGATTCAGTGGTCTTGGATGGAGGTTCATTTGATTCGTCCGCGTTGGCTTACCTTGGGAGACATTGCCTTGATTGCAAAAATTTCTCTTTCGAAAGATCCACACTTCTTTACGAAAGCTTAGTTGACACTTCTTCTGTCCAGATCGACATGACTTGGGCAAATATCAAAAATCTAAAGCTTTTCAACGCAGCGATCCCTGAAGACGAATGGACGGGACATTATTCATCAAGCACAATACGTCTTTTATCTGTGACTCAAGCATATCCTTTATCACATAAAATAAATTATGACAACGACAACGACAATGAGCCTGATATCGAGTTATCTACCAGCTCTGCTACCAAGACAGAGTGGTTCTTCCTTCCTAAAGAGTCACGCTATGGATCTACTGAATATAACAAGGAATTGAGCAAGAGTCAAGGAAGAAGTATCGAAGAATACTTTTTATCTGCTGAAGAGGATCGCTACCTCGATGCAAGCGCCTTCATTAATCTTTATGAAAAGACAAATTTGCCCATGACAAGCTATGTGAAACAACTCAGAAAATCGGGTTGGGAAGAGGAATGGAAGAAAATTCTAGAATATGGATATATAAATCTAACGGTAAAATCTAGTGTCAATATAATTATATAGTTTTTTAAGCACACATTTATGTATGTATACACCGATGTATGAATAAATTCATTAATTTTGCTTTAAATGATATTCATGGTTTTAATAATATTCTCTCTAATAAGAAGAAATTCCCTCAAGAATTCTATGGCATTAAATAATTTTCCATTCCTCCTGCTTTTGTTCTTGTCTTTGCCTTTGCCTTTGCCTTTGCCTTTACTTATTTAAAGGATGATATAAATTACCCAAGGTTTTTCAATCCAATAAAAATAGTATAATTGATCGTTTTTTAATAAAAAATAAATAATCTAATTGACTTGTCAAATTTAGATTGTCTTCTTTTTGCTTGCTTGCAAAGGTTAAGACTTAAGATTACGATTGCTTGGTAATTCTCAAAAGTATAGTTGATTTTATAGATAGGCGATTTCATTATATCTGCAGGTGAAGATGAGGGTGAAGGTGATTATGAGAATAAATATGAAGGTGGATATGCAGACAACATAATTTAAATTATTAGCCAAGTTAAGGTTAATCTAAAATAAAATAAATAAATGAGTCCACCTTTTTAATTTTAATTTTAATTTTTTTTTTTTTTTACTACAAAAAAAATCTGCGGACAACAAGCATATCTCCAAGCTTTTGAGCTGAAGATTTAATCTGCAGATTTTAAATTTTAAAAATTTTCAGCCAATCATTCTTTATTTTTAATATCCGCTATCTACATTTGCAGATTTTAATTCGATGTATATTTATCGGAGCCAAAGAATCTTAGCTTTTAATATCCGCTATATATCCAGATGGATCTGCAATGGGCAGAGATAATGAAACCCCCATTGTTTTTATTTTTATTTGCAGAAAAGCAAAAGAATATTCGTTTGCTAGTAGTTTTGTGTGTCAAAGTTGCTTCTTAATCAAACCTGTTAAACTACACAAAAGGTGTGTAAAGCAACCACAAGCAAACAGCATAGAAAGGATTGAATTGTACTTTCATGTATAGTCTTATTCTAAAAATATTAAGCTTCTTAGAAACCTTAATGTATGTGGCTTTTGTTATAGACTGATGGCTGATAGACCTATAAGCACATAAGCTAAAAAGAAATCAGCCGCTTTAGTATCATTTGTAACAAGAAGACTAAAAGAAAAAGAGAAAAGTAAGTTGGTTGTCTGGGAACTCTTTTTTTCTTTTCTTCAAAAGATTTTCACACTTACTTTGACAAATAACAATAGCTGTGCATGTATTGGTTATAATCCTTTTTAAACTGTTTATGAAAATAAATCTTGCCAAGTGAACTTTGATAAACGAGAACTTTCTTTAACCTCCCAATATATGTATGTATGTATGTTTGTATACACAACTAAATAAAGAAAGATCAAGTGATTGTGGAAATGATACAGGTGGAAATCTAGCAATTTACCTCTTTCTTTCTTTTTTTCCTTTTTTTTTTGCCTTTTTCGTTGCCTAGAAATGTGAATTTTTAGCGAGAATTGAGCATAACAAGATTCTATTGTATTCTCTATTATTCTAAATGTTGTACCTTTGTGTTTCACTGAAAAAAAAATTTACAAAAGAAAGTGGTCCCTTTCATGACAAATTTGTGTTCAGTAAGTTGTACACAGATTGTATCAAAGTCAGTGAAGGTTGTACAGAATCTGCCTTCTACACAGAAGCCATCTTATTCTTTTATTTTATTTTGTTGCTATAAAGCTGTAGTTATATATATTATTATTTAGAAAGTGTTAATACAAGGCTTCCTCGAGGTAATTTTAGATTCCTTTGTTTTCTCTGTTCCTAAAGTAACCAACCAATATAAGCTGAAAGAAAAAGGAAGATAAAAAAAATACACACACACACAGAACACAAAGTGTTGGTTTCGATCATTATTTTACCATTTTTTTTAGTAATCAAGATGGCATTTGATTTCGAGATAAATTATGTAATTCTTTATTCAAATTCAAATAAAACTTATAGCATATTATTAGCCACAGCAGCAAAAACACCAATAAGAATATAGAAGAAGAAGAGGAGGGTATTCAAATCGTCCTCTTTAACTTTAAAGAATAATAATAATATATGTATAAAACAAAGATTGTAAAATGGGTATATACCATTATTTAAGCAGTATATTGTTTTTACAATAATGTGTATTCTATTCTGAATGTGGATAAAATGCATATTCTTTTTTAGATGAATATATATATATATATATACTTTATGTGAATTACACCAAATATCTCCTTTTTTTGTTTTTGCCTTTTTTTTTTTCGTTAATTCAACACTTGGTCTTCTTTTGGATTGTAAAGCAAATATAAGAATTACATAATTCTAATTATTAATTTTTTTTTCGGGTATAAAGTATAATTGTAATTCTAGCTGTGATTTTCACTGTAACTTTGAGTATAATTACAACCGTAACTTATTGTAATTGTAACTATGGTTATAATTGTTGTATTTATTTCCAGAGTAATTATTACTATATAATTATTATTTCTTCATGGTAATAAAGCCAACAGCAATAATAATACTTGCAATCATTTCATTATTAATACTATTACCAAAATCCTATCACACGCTTCCACCAATGTCTTTTAGCCTTTCCTTTTCCCTTTCCATTTCCTTTGGATGCCTTTTGGTCTTGCTGTTGGGATATAGTTGATTTTTTTCTGATTCTTTTCTGGGACTTATTTGATTCGTCCACCCAGGCATCGAAATGAATTCCAAACACACCAATCACAGGTAAATGGTCACTCACACCCTCAAGTTCGTCGTCCATAACCGCACCATAGGACCAACACTCTGTGCTTTGCTGACGTTTGTTGTTGTTTTGCCCAAATAGTTGCCACCAGTTTGGAGGTCCTCGTTCTACAACAGACCCATTACGCTTCGTACGCTTGTTGGTACTGCTGATATTTTTGCCGTCATGCCACAGGATCCGATCAGTCCAGCTCGGAACTCGCTGTTTAGGGGAGCTGTCGTAACACAGGGAAAGCGGTAATCCAGGTGCGGCAGCCACCCGCTCTCGTTCCTTTTCTTCTGGTTTCGAGGTTGATAGTGATGGTGAGGGTGATGGTGAGGGTGAGGGTGAGGCTGATGATTTTGATTTTGTTTTTGATTTTAATTTTGCTTTTAAGCTTGACTTTGTTTGTGATTTTGATTTTGATTTTGATTTTGATTGTGGATTGGATTGTGCTTGTGCTTGTGATTGTGTTTGTAATGCTTGCTCTAATGCTTCGTCCTGTTCTGGTGCTACTGGAGAGTGTTCAGATTCAATGGACGAAGAGGTATCGGATATACTATGTGCGTGTTTGGTATCAAATTTGAAGGTAGGTGGGAAATTTATCGGATGCTCCTGGAAACCTTCAAACGGATTGTCGGGTTGTTTTCTGGTATTTGTGAGCTGGTCATACTTTAATACAGCCTAAAAGTATTGTTATTATTTTTTGATAAAAAAGAAAGAGAGAAAGAAGGTTGAGTAACATAAATAAATAGGGCGTAATTGACCAGGGCGATCTCAAGTTTAAAGAAAGAAATATAATGTATGTATATAATTATATTGAATATTCAGAAAAATAATAATGAATATAAGTATAATACCAGTAATATTAAATATAGCGGTTGGTGCTTTTTTGCTTTTAAATTATATGTGGTTTGAGTTTGTATACCTTGTAGTCTCCTTTTTGAAGGGTCTCTAGCACCCAGGACCGTTCTGCATCAACTCTGTAATTTGTGTCACCGAATATGAAGGTGTGGTCGAATCTTTTAATAATATTTTCTACATGTTCAATAAAAATGTATCAATAATATTAATTAGTATTAGTACTAGTACTAGTACTAGCACTATCATTATCATTATCATTATCATTGGTTGACTAATCGAATTAATGACATTACAACCAAGATATTCAAAATAATCTAATTAAGTAAATAAAAGGATTGGTAATTATGCGTACCATGATTGTGAGGGTGGTGATGATATTCCTTTACAGATGTCCTTATACCACGATCCTTTAAATTGTTTTCAGTGAGCTGTTTTGGATCTTTAGTCTTTGAAGATTTATTAGGCGTTGATTCCAATGGCACCTGTGCCAGTACCGACAACGGCGAGGATGCTGATGCTGATGCTGATGATGCTGATAATACTGGTGGTGATAATGAATCTGATTGTGTTTTTGTGTTTTGTTTTGTTTTGGATGGTTGGTTATTTGAGAGTATTTCGGTCTTTGTCTGCTTTTGGCTTGGTGGTTGTTTTTCTGGCTCAATCTCCTTTATTTTTGATTCGTGCTTGTTTGATTTGGACAGCTTTGGGTCACGCATCTTGAGATCATGCAGGATCCTGGAGACGTTTGCATTTCTCTCATCGTTATGAGACGCATGGGCTTTAATAGCATTATTGTTATTATTATTATTTTAATATAAAAAAAAGAAGAAGAAGAGGTAAAATAAAGTGAGTACAAGAACGGAGCACAAGATGGAAATGGAAATGGAAATTGAATTTTTATATATAAATTATATATATTAAATGTTGAATGTGATGTGATTAGAGACAGAGAAGAGGAGGTAGGGATGAGAAGTGCTATTAGTTTGTCTTACCTGTCAAATGGCAGTTTATGAACAAGAGAGATCTAGGACCAAACATAAATGATATAGCGACTGCACCTTTGTTGCTATGGTTTTAATGTAATAGATAGATAAGTATAAAGAGCATAAATAGTATATGTATATATATGTATCGTGCCGATATATAAAAATACACACGCATATTAGCACACTAACAATATCTATATATAAACAAGGAGAAAATAATCATAATCTTTATGATAGCGATGGTGATGATTAATAGCTCATTAATACTTTACCCAACCATGTTTGCCCAGCCGGTCTTGATATGCTCACTCTCGATATTTGTAATGTAGTGCCTAACAGGCTTCCAGACAAATACTGCCAGATGGAGGGCGGCCAAAGTTTCTGTTTCAATCAAGGCATAGTGTTTGCCAAGAAAAGTCGAAAGGCGTTCCTCCCAGACTTCTTTTGAAGAATAGAACAAGGATTCTGAAATGTCCCGCTCGCACTCTTGGGTTCCGATAGCCAATAGATGGTAAGGGTGAGTGGCACTGCTATCCAGATGTGGCAAGGTGCTCTCGTGTGGATCTTCTGGATTCCGTGTCAGGAAAGTGTCGAGTTCGATCGGAAGAAGACGGCCGTACATATTCCACGTGCCGACAAACACCTTTAGACGATCTGGGTGGCAGGACGGACGAGACTTTGGAGAAAAGGCCATGGTCTTTGACCGTTTGTTGGACGCCGAGGACAGCAAGTTGTGGACGGCCGCAAAGGTCTTGGTGCGTTCCGGTGAGGCTGGTACAGAATTGGTAGACAAATGAAGAGAGTGTAATGAACCTGGCATATTTTCTTGTTCTTATTATTTTACAGTGACAATGGTAATAATAGCAGTATTTTAATAAGTAAAACAAGAATAGAAATAAAAATAATAAATTATTAATAAATAAATATATAAAAGTAAGTAAGAAAATGAAGGAAGAATCAGAATCAAGATAATAAGAATATGAAGAAGAAGAGGAAGAAGAGGAAGAAAGAGGGAAATTAAACTAGTATATATAAAATATATAAGAATAAGGAAAGAAAGAAAAGTAGTAACTTTTTTATATATATATATATCTTAATATCTTAATATCTTAATATCTTAATATCTTAATATCTTAATATCTTGGTCTCATTCTATATGTAGTGTGTATGTATATGTACTCTTTGGTTTAACCTTATGCTTTTTTTTATTTAATTATTCTTATTTATTTATTTTTTACTTAATTCACCTTTATTTCCATATTTGGAGAATACCATATTCTATAAGCATTTTTTGCACAAACTTTATGGAAATTTGAATTTCAGTTGAATTTCAATTAAAATTACAATAATCAGAAAGAGTTACGATTACAATTGGGATTTCCTGTTTCCTCTCTCTCTTTTTTTTTTTTTTTTTTTTTTTTTGCAAGGTATTTTTATTTGGCGCAAACATGCACAGACCTTTTTTTTTCCCTTTCTTTCTTTCCTTTCTTTTTTTTTTACTATTTTTTATATATATATATAAAGTATATATAAAATATATATATATATATACAAAAAAATATATAGACATTTATATATATATATATATATATATATATATTTTATTTTTTTAAAAAAATGCCCCTGTTGGCCATAGCTAAACTCAATTCGAGTCTGTCAGTTTACTTTTATCGCTATGGCAACCTCTTTGTCTCCCGAACTTTACTACTCCTCTTCTTTTCGTTTTCTCTTATCACCTTCTTTTCACTTCCAGTCCTTCTTGACGTCTATGATTCCGCTCGCCAAAGCACTCTTCCAACCCAGTCTCACGATGCCCAATTCTGGCACTTTTCACCTCATGTCCAATTCACAAATACCACCCAACAAATAACCACTACCACAACCACCACAACTACTACAGCCCCAACAACGACTTCTGCAGTTACAACACAGCAGATCAGAATCTCACTTGCACACAAGAAGATCACTAAAGATCTCTTGCTCCATGCTCTCGACATTCACAATCTACTCACCACAAGTTTTGTCACCCTGGACGGACAACCGTCCTCTCTATCAAACATATGTCTCGGCCGTCAAGGTCTGTGTGTAATTCACTCGCCTGTCGACTACTGGCCCACCAGAGCTAGCCTTGAGGATGACCCAGACTGGAGGGCAACCATAGACCGTCAGAGCCACAGAGTCTCAGACCAGACCGGACTCTCACTACACCCCTTTTCGATGTTTGGCAATGCGACACTCGACAAGAACGGCTATTTGATCAATGCTGACTCTATTGTCCTGACCGTCCTGCTCAAACACCCTAACCCTCACTATGCCTCTCGTATCTGGGATACCCTGTGGCAGCACACAACCCAGCAATTGAATCTTGCTCGGTTAGAAACCAATCCTATAAACGCACCTACCGGTTGGTGGACTCAAATAAGTGCACCCACAGAAACCCTTTATTACAAAGCAAGTTTTTATTCATTTTTATTTTATTTTATATAATAATAATAATAATAATAATAATAATACTATCATAGTAACTATAACACTTACAACAAACATAAAAAAAAAGAAAATAAAGGATAATATAAAACTAACCCTTGTATTTCTTACAAATAATTTTTCTTTTATAAAAACCTACACTACTTTATAGTTCAAAGTATTTACTTTCGAATTACCTTACCGTTACTATGTCCTAGCCATTATCCACCTTGGTCTCTTCCTAGGAGTCTCAAACGCCTTTTCAACCTCGACCTTGATCAAATCCCAGTACACGTTCGGACTCGCGACCATCTTTATGTCGATTGCCTGCCACACAACCACCGTAGGTATCTTCCGGTTTTTCGAGATTCGCTTTGTTGCCGTCCCATGGTACCTTTGTTGGCTTGTTGTACATGTTGCTACTCTCGAGAACGCCTTCTTGATGGCCAACGCGGTCCTGAGCGCGGGCTGCGATATGCAGGTCAAAGAAAAGGTCTGCCGTGGAATCCAGAGTGTGGGTGTGCCCATGACCACGACTCTGGTGGCCGAAATGGTGATCCTGTCGATTGGAACTGCCATGGACCACGCCCTCATAAAAGAGTTTTGTCTGTTTACCAAAATAGTACTCTTGGTAGACTATGTCCTTCAGTTTACCTTTTTCCTTGCCATGCTTTCGATTGACATTCGCCGTGTAGAGGTAAGCAAACAAAAAATAAATCAAACAATACCCTTTCATTATATCATCCTTCCCTTCCACTTCTTGCTTTGCTCTGCCCTACCCTGCCATACCCCTCAAGCATATATATATATAAATATATATATAGAAAATAGAAATTGACTAATAAGTTTTTTTCTTGGTACACATTACTAATCTTTTCTGTGTGTTTTTGTGTGTTTGTCTGTGCCTGAATATATGCATTCTATCATTTTTCTTCTTTATTCTTCTCTGTCTTTCTGTGTGTGTTTGTGCGTATCCGTATGTTTGTGGGTGTTTCTTTGAATATTATAGCTGGCCGACTTGGGTGATAGTCAATTGTCCAAACGATTGCGAGAACTTTTGCATGTTGATCCGTCTATTGAACAGGGGCCGGACTTTTGCCCTGTTCAAGACACGCCGGATGAACAAGACTCAAAGTCGTGCGCAGAGTGTAAGGAATTCAAAACCCACAGAGCCGTTAATGCTCTTTTGGTAAGTAATATTGTTGTATGTAGGATAATTTTTGTTTTACAATAAAGTAAATAAGATATTATATTATATTATATATATATATAAGTTTGTACATCTATACCCCATTTTCTTCTATAAACAAACACACACACACACATATATATATCCTATTTAAGAAGAAGAATAGTAATAGTAATAGTAATAGTAATAATGATAAAGTTAATACCATAATTGACTTTAAAGAAATTGTAACTAACCAACCTCTTCTTATTTTCATACCTTTGACTTCTTTATACACATTATGATGTGGCTAAACAAATTAGTTATGTTTGATTATCCTGGCCCTGGCAATGTTTCGTTCCAAGGGGGCCACAAATGTATCCAACAGTTTAAGCGCTGTTTCTCTGCCGTCGAAAGAGGTCGGACATTTGGAGCTAGTATCAGCTCACTTCTGGCAAGTCGTGAACCCGCTCCAGGAGACCCAATGGCTGAACACCAAGCCGCCCTATCTGATCGTACTCGCCAAAGACGCCCAAGACGCCGACCAAGGCCGGTCTACACTTGCCAGCTGCGTATCTCACTACGAGGCTAAGAGCGTTGCGCTCCAGACCGTCCACAAGCAACAGCAACTCATGCGTCCTCCGCCATCTCGTCTGCGCGGGTGGGTCTATGGTGTGGCAGAAACTGTTTTGTTGGCTGTGCTACAAGTAAACCTGCCGTCACTTTTGCTCTGTATGGTCTTGGTGGCCATCATCATGTGGATCACGCCTCGATTACGCGACCGCTGGCTCTTACCTTTTCTCGAGACAAGCTTTGTGCACATCACCCTGCGGAGTTTGTCGTTCCTGACTTACATGTTGCCCTGGATCACCACCTTTTTGAACCAAAGCATCGCACAAACCCTGAATTTTCAAAACCAGCAACAGCAACAGCAACGCCAACACGATCAGAATCAAAACAAAAACAACAATAGAAACAACGGCAGCACCAACCGTCATAATCACCAGGGTGCAATCTCAAACCAAGCTAAATTTGATAGCAGCACAAACCATGTAGGCCGGGTCTCAGTCAAGACTTTGTCAGGCCAGCACGTGGCTGATGTCCACCGAATTGCTGTCAATCATCAGCACAACACGCTCGTCTCTAGCGGTCAAGATGGCCGTCTTGTTCTCTGGGATACCAACAAAGCGAATTGGATGGCACGTTTGGATCCTGTCAAGAAATCTCGTCTCAATTCTCTCTACTATCCTTCTCGACCCACAGCCCAGACCTCCTCGAAATTCTCACAAACAAACAACAGAAATCTTAATAGCAGCGGTGGTATCAGCAGCGCAGTTGTTCGCTCTGTAGAAATCGACCGTGCCAACAAATGGATTGCAACCGGAGCAGAGGATGGCGTCGTACGTATCTGGAACGCACTAACCGGCCAACTTATGCATTCACTCTCGGCCGAAAGTCAGCATGTAGAGACTATGGACAACGGTATTCGTAAACGCCATGGAGCAATGTCCGCATCAACATCCACATCCACATCCACATCAACGTCAACGTCAACGTCAACATTAGTAGCAGTAGAAAGTCAGAAAAACACCGGTGTTAATAGCCGCGTTGTAGACCGTGTGTTGGGAATCCAATGGGTCGGACGATCAACTGCTACTACTAATACTACTACGATGAACAAAGGCGAGGCACAGAACCGGATTGTGTCAGTTCACAAGAGTGGAATGTTGCGCGAGTGGGATGTGACTCTGGGCGAGTGTGTCCAGCAAACCTGCACTGGCCATCTCAAAGACATCACGGTCTTACACTGTGTGGAGTCTGAGCCGGCTTACCTTGCTAAACCAGGCATCACTTGGCTCTTTACTGCGTCCAAAGAAGGCGTAGTCAAGTGCTGGCAACGTGATGTCAGGACAAACGATGAACCTTGGACCTGTGCCTATACTATTGATGGCCACCATGGCCAGATCGTTACCTGCCTTGCAACCGAATTTCCTGTCGGTGGCATCGGACTTTTGGTGACTGGCTCGAGCGAGGGAGCCGTGATTGCCTGGAATTTCGAGACGGGCGAATGGATCGGGACACTCTCGGCCGGAGGTGTCAAGACTAAAAAGAAGAACCAGCAACATGCTCGGGATCATCCTATTGGTGGACCTCTTCTTCGATTCAGCAAAACAACCTCGTCTAATACCAATAATGACAATAGTTATAATAATAATAATAATTATAATACTGTCTCTACTCACTTTTCTGCCACAACCACCACTACCACTACTATTAACAACAACAACAATTATTCTCATGGAGGAATTGAAGAAAACCCCCAGGTCAAGGGTATTCTGCACTCTCTTGAACATCGAGTCCAGAACAATGAACCTGGAGACCATCGTGGGCCAATTACACACGTGGTTGTTACACGTTATTGCGAAGTCGAAAATGGCCATGGACAGTGCAGAGGTTGTATTTCCTGTTTTGGAAACGGATTTATGGTTGCTTCCTGCTCGGCCGACGAAACTGTGCATGCTTGGCGACTCGAGCGTGTGGGTGGTCCAAATGTGAGCTGTACGCTCTGTGCAAAGGACTACCACAAGAAGCAATACAAGCGTACTCGGAAAGTCAGCACTTGCAACACTACAACTGACCAGGATTTAGTGGGAGGAGGGATTTCGCCTATACCTTCGCCATCTTCTTCATTAACAACATCAATGACAATGTCAACCTCAACCTTAACAAATACAGGAACAAATCATGGTACTACGGTGTCGGCGGGACGTCCCCGAAAGCCGTCAACATCTCAAAGTTTGCCTGTCCGCCGAGTTCATCGCCATATTCGGCCCAGCCGGTCTTCTGCACACCAAGGGGCAACATCTGATGATAGAGGAGATCCTTTGTTGGATATTGAACAGCTGGCTGGAGATGTCGAAGCCAATTTGGAAACTCGCTTTTTGGGAAAGATTGACCAGGTTTCCGGGCGAGGCTTGGTGTTTTGCAATAACAATATCCTGGCTGGTGTTCGCCAAAGAACCACACCGGTTACTCCAAAAGGCCAAAACAACCCTAACAGCAGCAATAAGTCCTATTCTTCTTCGGGAGATGGTTTTGGGGGTGATACCTCTGGTCAATGGGAAGCCTGGTTTGCACCTCTTCAATACCATGATCCTCCTGTTTTCCACGATTTTGGAGATTCGAATAGCCTGGGACATACAAAGACCTCAATGATGATGATTCCTGTGGAGACCTTTGTATTGGATACTGATTTAGACCAACAGAATGATTCTGTAATTGCCGAGGCTACCGTATCAGTATCGCCTAGTAATAACAATAATAACAATCTTTCGATTGGATCCATTATTGGGTCATTATTTGGTGTTATCAATCGTCGCCCGAAATCTTCGTTATCGAAACAACAGAACACTCACCCATGGAGACAACGTAGACGACCGCAGCTCAGCAACAATGGAAGTGGCAGCAATACAAGAATTTCTAGTAGACGTCGAAAGGACAGCAAACAAAATTTCGATTCGGAAGACAGCAACAAAAACAGCCACAAGAATAGTAATGATGATGATTATGATGAGGATGATGAGGATAGCTTGGATGATGGAGAGGCTAGCGAGATTCTCCCATTTTCAACCGTACGACACATTGTTCCGATGACAAAATCTGGATTTGTATGTGATTTTGGCAATTTTGTCAAGGTGGTGACTATTCTTCAGAAAGAAGGAGCCATGCGTCACAGTAACCAAGGGTTGGATGAGACACTTGCTAGTGTTGTGCCCTTGACAGCCACGAAGAGTGATTGTATCTGCCTTGGAGATAGTGAAGACTGTTGTGGTGGTAAAGAGAAGGTGAATGGCAAATGCTGTGGTGGAAAAAACAAACGTCGTAATCGCCAAGCCATCAACAAAGACAGTAACAGTGAGGAAGATGAGGTTAATAATAACTACCGACCACCTGTGATTGTTAGCCCACCAGCAAAGATAGATATCTCAAGTTGCCAGGTCCGCAGTATTGCTGACTGTTCGTTCAAGGCACATTGTTCCAAGGCAGCCGATTGTCGTGCATCGGTTTCCAAGAAATCATCGTACGGCTTATAAAATAAATACAGAAAAAGAAAGGTTTTATATAGATATTCCTTTCTCTTTTTCCCTAACCCCACATTTACACTCTGGAACTTCGCTCTTTCTTTCTTTACTGCACAATTCCTATTACCATTCCCACTACCATTATCATTACCATTATCATTACCATTACCATTACCATTATATTTATATTTATACTTATACACTTACTCGCTACACACACACATATATATATATATATATATATATTATACAGACACGACCATTATACACATACACAATATCCTATATATCTATATAATTCCCTTCCTTTCACGTTAATTTACTTCTTCTTTCTCTTCTTCCTCTTGTTATTATTACTTTATCTTATTGGTCCAGCCACTAATCTCAAATAGACCAAGAAAGAGAAAATCAAAGGAAAGAAAAAATAAATAAAACAAAATAGAGAAATAAAAAAAAAAGGTACAATATTTATCTTTCCACCTTTTTATATCCATCTTCATCTATCGATTAATTAGTACCTTATTATATATATATTTCTAAAAAAAAAAGCAAAAAGACCCAGAAAAATATGGCATGATGTTTTTACTATATATTTATTTATTTTTTCTAAAAAATAAATAAAATAAAAATAAAAACGATATATCAAATAAGATCGAGCGATTGACTGTATCAGACACTTGTAAAGCAGAAAATAATAATAAGAATCTTTAGGCAATTTTGAGCCTTTTTTCTTTTCTTTTATAGTTTAGTTTTATATATATATATATATAATTAGAGCTTAAAGTTCTTAGACTAATTAGCCTTCATCTAGTCAATATTTGTTTCTTTAGAAGTAGTCTGTTTCTGTCATTCTTTAGTTTACAGTACAAGTCCAATGTGAAAAACCAGATAAATAAAAGTGGGATAAAATGAATAAAATTCTTAGCAAATTTAAGGCCAAGATGTGCACAAATCATTTTATCAAAGATATACATATGCACACACACATACATTTGAGTGGTGGATATTCGGTAGTATCAATTGTGGGCTGATAAATAAAATGTTATAATAATAGAAATCAAGAAATGGCTTGGGTTGGCTTGGGTTGACTTTGTAGCTAATTTATCAAAGGTTAAAATATCATAATATTGATAATATTGATCTTAATCAAGAGAAAGAATCAATAATTATTAAATCATTAGAATATATTTGTGATTTGTACTGTATTTTAAAATATAAAAAAAAAGATATAGGAAGAAATCATCTAAAAGGAGTATTTGGAAATCTACCAAGTTATTCTTTACCAACAAAAACCTCGAACATTCATATTTGTTAATTACCTGCAGAACCAGAGGTATTTAAAACAACTTCTGACGCCACCATTATTAGATACAATCGTGCGTATATATATATATATATATACATATATTCTTATGGAAAACATTAAAGAAGAAGAAGAAGAGGCTTGAGATAGAAAAGAAACCTGGAGATCCAAAATACATGATAAACCGAGATTTATCTTGTTTCTAGAATATAAAGTCTTACCTGCCTGCATTTTTCTTCCTCTTCTTTGTCTTCTTTATATATTTTTCATTTCTTTTTTTTTTAAAAAAAAAACAAAGTCATGATCAAGTATATTGTATTTTGTGTTACTCTTGTCATTTGTCTTGTCAAGGCTGTTGTCCTTAACCCGCATATGTAAGTTTTTATTTTCAAGTCAAAAGAGTGAAGAATATGTACAACTAAAAAAAAAGAATAAAGACAAAAAGGCAAACTAACTTTACCTTCAATTGCTTTACTAATCTCTAACAACAACAAAAAGCATTGTACCTAACGAGAGCACAGTATGGAAAGCTGGAGGAACCTTTGATGTAAAATGGTAATTAAAAAAAAAAGACACATGCACCAAAAGTACTCAAGATACTCTTTTTTACTTATTACTTGTATAATTGCGCAACCTTAAAGGGATACAATTGTCTACGGATCCCCAATTGCCCCAGAAGTCAAGTAATTCTGCCATTTACTCAAATCATAATAATATATTCTGTAACCAAAATTTTAATCAATTTGTCTCATTCTACCACTTATTAGTGGTACCATTAAGCTCGGTTACTTGGATGGTACTGACATCAATGAACATTTGTGTAAGTATTATTTTTTATTTATTTAAATATACATGCGTTTGTGAGGGTGGGTGAGCGTAAAAGAAAGAAGGAATGAAAGAATGAAGAAGAATTCATCAGCCTTCTTTAGTTTGGACTCTTGCTTCGGGATTCCCTTTGAACACTGGATCTCAGAGTGTCGTCTTACCAACCGACCTTGTCACCAAAGCCTCGTATATCATTGTTCTGATGGGAGATTCCGGAAATTCCTCACCCCAATTCACCATCGAAGCTAATTAATCATTTTCTTTTCTTTGTCTTACTTATTCACTTTGCCTCATCTCTTTCTATTATTTACTACTACTATTATTAATTTCAGCCTGCAATTATTTTCTTGTCTTTGAGATGAATAGCTTATATACATACTGTAGATATTTACTGTATATATGTATATACAACAACAGCAACAACAACAACAAAAAAGAGGGATTTATCATATTTAACAATAAAAATCTTAGACTTTCTCCTATTTTTGGACTTCATGGACGGTCTGTCTCTGAGATATGATTCAATAAAGAAGTATCTATTCACAAGGTCTATCTTCTTATGGTGTAATCGGGCATAAGTATCTATATTTTTGGATTTGTTTCAATTTCAATTTCGTCTTTTTCTTTAATTAAAATCAAATCTCTTTTCAATATATATATAAATCAAATACATAGTGCATGTAGTATCTGTTTATCAATACGATACAAGTCAACGGATTTAAATTGAGAAACAAAGACGCCAAAATAAAGATATTCTTTCCAACGGTCCAACAGTATATAACTTCTTTTTATGCCAAAGGTATCCTACAGAAATTGAAGAGTAAATAAAAAGGATGATGGTCAAAATTGTGTACGTTAAAAATGTGCCATTGCTTTTTTTTTTTTAAAAAAAAAAACGTTTACCATGCAATTAAATTTCCAGAAATATTTATTTTTGAGCATATTTAACATCATCTTTCTCAAGCTCCCATACACAATTTCTTTCTTGTCTGTACCCATTTAAATACTGGTAAGGCCTGGCTACATTGTCATACCATCGTTTGTCGTGTTTCCTGTATAATATGGGTTCCTCGTCTTCATCACTTAAATAACATTCCTTGTATATTTGAAACCAGTTTGGTAGCATAGGTTGCTAATGGGTAACCGAACCCAATTGATCAACATCAGTGTCATCTTCTTGTTTAACAACATAGTGCTTTATAATACCCTTGTTTGTGACGATATTAAAAATCACAAGTGTTTCCAGCTGCGTGTAGGGCATATCAATAATGATCTTCCCGTTATCCGTGAATTCGGATTTCTTAAAATAGACGTAGTCTAATTTCATGAATGAAAGCCTACTGCAACGAAAGGATAAATATTTAAAGATCTGTTACTTGTAGCGATATTCTTTAGCTCTATTCTCTGTAGAGCGTGTGGACTGTGATTGTGGTATGACTTCTTGGAGAGGTACACACCGACTAACTATATGTCTAGCGATCGCAACAATGGGTTATTTATCCAGGATAATGTCAATTTCGATAATGACAATGGTCATGGTATGTAGCTCGACTAGGAATGGGTAGGAAAGTAAAATACTCGTACTTAGCGTGTCACGGCTGCCTTGACTCAAATCCGCCCACAAAACTTTCAGTGATTCTGGATTAAGATTAAGGCAACCATTGAAACCTCTTATCTGACTTTTATCATCGCAGTCGGCTTTAATATTAGCTTTTCCACTTTTACGTCAAAGTGCCGGAGAGTGTCGTAAAATAAAAGATATATCGATGTGTTTCTGTAGGGAAGGTATAGACTGATTGGCTATCAGGGTACCGCCGTCCCAAGTACGCTTTAGTACAATTGGTGTGGACAGACTCAAAAGTTCAAATCCATATTAGATAAGACCAAGTGCTCATACTACCATTATTCCATCTTGTGAAAACCTTTTATTGCCGGTCTTTCTAAGCCTTACATCATATGTCACATCTTTTCTATTAGACACATGCTCTTCTCCTTTCTCCAAGTGATAATGAAAGAAGACTAGCCATTCAGCTGTTAAACAAAGTCATACTTTTTTTTTAAAAAAAAATCCTTCTTTTTGAACTTTTAGTCTGTCTGCACCGATTGTATTGCGCTACAACACATACACACAAAGAGTGATAAATATCTAATTATACAGATATATAGCTATATAAATTTATTTATTTATATATAAAAGGGAAAAGCATTTTGTGTATGAGTTATATAATGTAAGATGAAGTAGAAAGGAAAAAGAGATAGATAAAAAAAAGAGAAAAAGGGTAAAATCGGGTTAATTATTATTAATATTCTTTTTTTTGATAGTGTTTTTGTTGGATATTCTGCTTAAGTATGCTTGGAACGGAGAGGCTCAAGAATAGATCTGAACTTGCCGGGACCAACCCAGTTACCGTCCAACAAGGCGTTCCAGTAAATGGCAGGAATAACCTTAATAAAATAAAGAATATTAATATGAATTGTTTTGCCATTAATTCCTTCTTATTCTTCTGTACATATATAAAGAACCACCCTCTATTTTACTAAACTACACTACTCTACTCTACTCCTCAGACATATTTATTTAAAGAAAAATGAAAAAGTATCTTACCTCCTTGTTGAGGAACTGTCCAACGCTGGTAATCTTACGCTGGTCAACAGGGAAGGTCTCAAGAGGCTTGCCGGTGTAGCCAGAGAACTCGGCAAGGATCAACTCTTTGCGACCGACGATCAAAGGACAGCTGGTATAGCCATCGTAAACTGCCTGTTCAACCTTCTCTCCCTTGATATCAGCAATAAGGTTGTGCTTCAGGACACCCGATTCAGCAGTAATGGAAGCCGCGGTTTTAGAGGTAGGCAAAGAAGAGCAGTCACCGAGCGAAAAGACATTCTTGTAACGGTTGTGACGCAGGGTATCCTTGTTAACATCAACCCAACCAACCGAATCAGCCAACTTTGATTCCTTGATGAAATTGGGAGGTCCTTGGGGAGGCGCGACGTGCAAAAAGTCGTAGTGAACAGTGCTCAGCTCTCCGTTCTTTCCATTGTTGCGGAAAACGGCCTCGTGGTTGTTGGCATCAATTGAGATAAGCTCGTTCTGGAAGTTGACCTGGATGTTGCGCTCATCGGCCAGCTTCTGCAGAACCTTTCCGTAGTGGTCAATACCAAAGATCTTACCCAGGCTGGTGTTGTAAATAACATTGGTCTTATCACGGACGCCAGACAAACGGAAGGCTTCTTCAGCCAAGAAGACTATCTTGGTAGGAGCACCAGGACACTTTATATATATATATATATATATATATATATAGTTAATATAACATATTCTCAGCCCAACTGGTTTTCTTCCTCTCTTGTCGTCCATCTCTGTGTCTTACCTTGAGGGGAGTGTTGGGGAAAGTAAAGACTGCATTTCCACCCTTGAATTCCTTGATAAATTGGTAAGTCTTTTGGACACTCTCGGGAGAGTAGTTGGAAGTAACGCCGTCCTTGCCAAGGGCTTCCTTCAAGCCCTTGATTTGTTCCCAGTTGATCTGAATACCAGCAGCAACGACAAGATACTCGTAACCAATAGTTTCGCCATTGCTCAAGGTAACCTGGTTGTGGTCAGGGTCGAGCTTGGTGACTTTGTCCTGAATCCACTCGGCCTTTGAGGGCATTACGCTGGCCATGGGCTTAACAGACTCCTTAAAGTCTTTGAGACCTGCACCAACATAGGTCCACAAGGGTTGATACTGGGTCCAAAAAAAGAAAAGAAAGAGTATGAGATTATCGCGCCTCAAAACAATATATGCTTATACAGTATTCAGTCGTTTAAAGATGTATATACATAAAGGTAAAGAGAGAAAAGGAACTCACGTAGTGAACACTGGCAGGGTCAATGACAGCAACCTGGTCCTTTCCGAGCATCTTCGAGAGTGTGGATGATACCGACAGACCACCAGGACCTGCACCTACAACGACAACCTTGAACTTCTTGTCAGCCGCGACAGGGGCAGCAGGAGCAGCGGTCTTTGCGGCGGTGGCGAAGGCGCGTCTGGCAGTGGTGAGTACTCTGGTGCGTGTGAGAGAGAGCATTTTGTTTAGAAGAATAAGATGAAAAAGAGTATGAAAATAAGAGAAGGAGGAAGAGGATAAGGGCGGACAAGATTTTGTTTTGGGCATTAAAAATATTAATATATTTATTATACTTTATTCACCGTTTAACTGTATATACAATATTTATAGTGGCAGTTAAACTAATCCCGCATAGAATTCGATTTCTGATATTATTTTTGTCTTAGATGAGGACGAATTACGACTACATTTAGATGTCAGTCGCGGGCACAAAAAATGGCGTCATCTACAAGCTTTGAAGGCGTAATATATTTTATGATATTTTACTTTACTAAAAGGCTTTGCTAATGAACAATAAGATTGCTTTTTGCCTAAAGTAAAGTTGATTGTGTACTAGACCATAATCAAAGGGTAGAATATGATAGAAAAATCTACAGAACAAATTCTGGTATTTTTCTTCTCTTTTTATATATATATTTGCACTACTTTACTATACATCAATTGTAATACTTGTCCAATAAAAGACATACACACATGTATATAGACGTATAGATGCATAGACGCATAGGCACAGATATTTATATTAGAGTATATTTATTGTTCCTGCTTTAAGAGTGGGGAAGAATACGGGGTTTAGCGTATAATAATTGCCCCGTATTATAAGAAAGTAAAAATATATACATAAAAAAGAAGAAGAACAGATCATTATGCAAAATCAAAGTAACTTCAAATTTCTTTAGCCATAGTTCGGCCAGCGCGATCATCAGAATTGAAACCCTCTCGAATAGTATCCACCTTCTGCTTAACATAGTCCTTGCCAAACTCCAATTTACGCATGACCTTGAATTTGTGGAGCTTCTTGTTCTTCAGGCCTTCGTGCATATTCTCAAGGTAGTTGGCGTCTTCATTTTCACTGCCCTCAAGTACAAACTCATCATCACTCGAGCCATTGTCATTATCATCATAATTATAGTCCTCGTTATCGTCTTCATCTTCAGCTTCATCTTCATTTTGAATATGTTCTTGTCTTTCTTTTAGAGCTTCGGATGTTGCAGTCGACATTCTTCGACTCTTACTACGTTCAGTCCCCGCTGCGGTATTTTCGCTGCTCTCTTCACGAATCCACTGCTGTGCTTTGACTTTGAAATCTTCATTATGGAACGGATCGGCTCCAATCATGTCCTTTGTGAACGATTTGAGATTGCCGTGAACAGGCGAAAAACCTGGTACGATTTTCATTCGGATCTTGACTTGGCCATACGGACCGTTCAAAGGCCAATCGTCTTCGTTCCGATTGGCTTCCTTGGATTTTTCGGGCGTGTAGTGATGCAGACCAACCAGGACCTCTTGCCAGTCGTTGTCACACACTTCCTTGAGCCAGAATCTTCCGGTAGCCTTGCTTCCCGACATAGCTCCCTGGAAACAATGGATGTAAACCGCAGTTCGGTAACGCATCGTGAGTGGGAAATACAATCGTTTGCGAGACCAAGCGTATTGACCAGCTGTTCCACTGTCATTGTCGCCATCGTTGCTTCCTTCTAATTGTTTGAGATCTGAAGCCCGAAGACGTTTGTGGATAGATGGATCAACGTTAAGGGCAACAATTGCCTTTGTTGATTTAAATGTTTCTGCTTCCATGGGTGGTTTTAAGCCCATGAACATCACACGTTCAATAATCAAAGTACCAACATCTAAATACCAAATACATATATCAAGCCATTATTAATACATATGTATATATAAATGAAGGATGTTACTACTCTATTAACAGTATTTTTTTTATAGATTGTAGGCTTACCAGCTCCTCTCAATTCACGTGGAAGAGTAAGCTTGACAGGTTTATAGCGTATAAGCATTGAAACCTTTCCAAAACCAATTCCTTTAATCAGTGGAACCCATCGCTCGGTCTCTTTGTACTTTATTCATAATTAAAGAAAAAAGACAGTTTTGTGGATATGTTAGATTGACGATTCTTATTTCAATTAGCATTTACATTCTTTAGATTATTTTTGCTGATTGACTGTATATTTTACCTTTTCTATTGTGGGTCCAAACAAATCCTTGAGAGAGAAAGCATATGTTCCAAGTACAGGATCTCTTTCAAGATCAATTGAATGCTTGACTGAGATACGGACATAAGCAGAATCATAATCTTTGATAAACTGTTCGGTGATCGCATTCCAATACTAATCGATTGTTGTTTCAAATAGTAATAAAAACGAAAGGAAAGCAAGAGAAAGGCATTACTATTAATATATTCTCATATGTATACAAGTAGATATATATTCGAGAGACTTACTGGACTAGGGTTACTGAGCTTAGCATGTGTTTGATACACCTTGAGGTCATTGATGTACAAAACAGCGTAAGGATTAACAATAGTATTAGAGTTGTATGGATGTTTGAGGTCTTCATCAGTGACTCCAGGATCTCCAATCTCCAGATCTGTAGCCTGTGTGATTTGCACCGACAATATACCTATAAAAATGTTATTAAGTAGAGCAACAATATACTTTCAATAAAATGAAGTAAAACATACCACTCTTGTGGTCTGGTGAGATTTCTTCCTTATCTTCCTTGTTTGTCTCGCGCTGCTTCGGGTCTAGCAAAATATTCTCTACTGGAACAACATATTTTGGATGGAAAGTCATCTTGAAATCGAGCTTTATCCGGGACTCTGACATATCCTTGCCATCAATTGGAGCCCAACTAATTTATACACAAAGAATAGATCAATCGTGTTTTTTTTTTAGTATTAAGGAATAACATATATATATGTATATAAAAGACAGAGAAAGTCTCTTACCCATCAAATACAGCATGCTCTTGTTGACACCATCCAGTAACATTTCCTAGACGATCGAGTTTTCCGAGCACAACATCTTTTACAGATATAGAGACCGAACCCCACAAGTCATCGAAATTAACCTTGTCTGCATCCCAGACTTTTATGTCAATCATAGTGTCGGCCAGAATATCATCTAAAGAAAGAAGAAAATGTTTATATAAAAGACATCGATAATCAATCTTTTGAAACCAACAGGCACTTCTTTTATATATTTATCATTACCTTGATGCACAAGAATGCATAATGTTTCGTTCCATCGAGGATCTTCTTCATTAGTGAGTACTCGAGTGCTTGCCATCTGACGACCAGGTTGATTACTGAGTGATACGGTAGCATATGAATCTCTTGCCTCTGTTATAATCATAATAAAATATAGATATATATATATATATATAGCGAAAGTTTTTTTTTTTTTGGATATTTGTTACATTACAAAGTTTCATAATTGTACTTGTAGTTCTATTTACCTCCAACCTTGGCATGAATGTCACGAATGGCCTGTCGAATATCTACCTTTACCACACCAATAGCTGTAGTGTCACGGGTAGCAGCACCAATTAAGGCCTGGATGTCGAGTGTCATACTCTTTGGATCTACCAAATCTGCAAATCCTAGCTTTACACCCTCGTTGACCAAAGTTTTCAACATAGGAAGCTATATATATATTATATATATATGAAAAAGATAAATTATTTAATTAATAAAGACAGTTAATTTTTTGTGATTATTAACCTCATTTAATATGTAAGCTAACACAGACACACATATATGTTATATGTCTGTGAACTAACACAATAATAAATATAATTAAAAGAATTAAGAAGAAGGAAAATAGGGACTTACACGCATCAAGTTCAAGTGCTTTGACATTGGCATTACGCCTGTTGTGATGGTCGGAACGCTTGTGAATGAAAAGGTAATTTTTGATAGGAATGGTGGGTCAGCGGAGGTTAGGATCTTGAATAACAGTTTTCCAGAAATATGGGTCAATTCGGCCTTGACATCCAGAGGTGCCTTGATACCGGTTTTGAAGCGCAAGGAAAGGCCAGGAGGTGTGGATTTGACATTTGATCTTGAATGAGACGATGCAACGGCTCTAGAGGTCAGACTAAAAGACACCTCTCCGAACTATTATAATGACATTTTGCTTTTAGACTTTTTGGGAGTTTTTTTTTGTTTGCTTATTGGCTTTGTAATTTATCAATATAAAATCTAATGATATATTGATAGACTTACAATGCTTTCGTCTGGTTGACCAGGGTGGTGTGGAAAGACACGAATCCTAATTAATGGTATAAGTAACTAGTCCTTCTTTTTATTCTTGTTATTATCAAAGCCATTATTTACTTTTGAATTACTGGAGACTGGGTTCCGATATCAAAATCAGTTACTTTTACGGCTTGCTATTGAATCGGGGTTGTTAGTTTTGAATTAATTTAAACAAAAACCAAGCAAGCATATATGTATATGAAGAGAGTAATTCTCCAGACATCTTTAGCTCTTACAATAATACTGGGGGCCACAGACTGCAGAGTGTCTTCCAAAATGTCTTCAACAAAAGCAAACATGCGAGGATCAATACTTCTCCAGACTTTTTGCAAGATGAAATTGATCCACTCTACACTCTCTCCATTGGTTTCATAAAGCTATCAACACAAATAAACAGGTTTAAGATATATACATGGGTGTATATCAAGAATGTATCCATAAACAATAGTACATATATATATTGATTGATATACTACTTACAGTTGATGCACCATCCAGTTTTTCCAATTGCCAGTCCAATCCGTCCTTTGATTCGGTACCGACCACCCAATAAGCCAAGGCGCCTAAAATGGAGATAGGAAAAAAAGATCAATGCTAAGAAAGTCTAATGATCTATGTCTGTAAAACTGATTTTTCTATATATTATTTTCTATATCATTTTGTTGCCTTACATCCTGCGATGGCTAGAAAACCAAAAAACAATCCAATGCTCAGCCTGCCAAAGAAATAGCAGATCATACCACCAACCAGGATGTATTTGCTCACAATTGATTCGAACCCTTCGATAAGTTCGGCTGGTGATGTAGGCTTCAAAGGTACTGGGAAATTGAGCTTGTAGCATTTCTTTGGCAGATCTTCTTCTGTGTGCGGCACGTTATCTCCTTCAGGCGATGTATCTTTGGGCCCTCCTTCTCTTATGGTACCAACTGAGGACCTTTTTTCTGTGCCTGGTAAAGGTTTGTTTCTACCAGAAGGTGTCACAGTCTTACGGACTCCCTTGATACGAGTGTCTCCTGCATCAACAGCATTGACATGGGGTTGCCGTCCTTTGATTTTTTTTTAATTATAAAAAAAATAATGATAATAATACCGAATAAATAAATTATACATTTATATAAATGGTTTAGCTTCTTCTTCTTCTTTATTAGATCAACAATGAAGAATTTCTAATTATACAGGTCATATTACTTTAAGTAAAATTCGACATTTACTTACTTGGATTGGCACTTGGCATTATCGGGCCTGGGGGAGGGCCTGCCTGTTGTCTGGCAAGATCATCCTGAAGCTCAGTATAATTATTATCCTTGTTCTTTGTGACAGTTATATTGGGTTGAGAAATTTCTGAGGGTGTCATTTGTAGACTATATGAATCTGAAGGTTCTTTTGCTGAGTTGGCAAGAAACATGTTTTGTACGTCATTCTGATCCTCTTGGTTTCTTTCGTATTTTTCATTATTATTATTATCATTATCATTATCATTAACATAATCATCATCGACTATTAGTTTCGGTAGTTCTTTTTCTGGGGATGGTGGCAATGGTTTATCCACAGATATTGTGCTTGTCGTTCTTGTTCTTGTTGTAGTCGCTGTTTTTGGTCTTGGTCTTGGTCTTGCGGACTTGTTAGTGTATTGGTCACTAATGTTTGAATCATCGCTTTCCATGCCATCAGTGTTGATTCCCTGTAACCGCAAGTCCATCTCATATAGCGCATTGTCTTCGGGTCCGAGAGCATCACTTCCAGTGTCACTGTCGCTGCTGTCATAAGGATGCTTTCCTTCTACAGAGGTCGGCGAACTGTAGAGATACTCGGGAGCCTTGTTTGGATTGTTTCCATCGTGTCTGTATAGGTGTGTGTCTTGAGCTGAGTTGACATCGATTTTCATTCTCGATGACTCGGTCTCAGGAAAAGACATAATTATATAGTTTTTACAGAAAGTTAAAGAAGAAGGCGGATTAAAGCAAGAAAAAGAAGGAGCAAACGAAATCCAAAAAAAAACGCATATATATATATATATATACATATATATATAACTTTCTATCCTGAGATTGTTTCCACTATGTCATTTTGAAAACACAGATATCGTTTTCACACACCTTGCCTTTTACGGGAAAGCAAACGTCAAATTATTATTGATTTATTTTAAAGCTCTCTTGCACGCCTCTTTAATATACATATATACACCATTTGCACTGGCATATGTAATGAGCAATCTATCCAGTGGTCTATAGAGAGAATTAGTGCATGCGTGCTGGAGGAATACATCCTTTGTGACGAAATTTCTTCATCTTTTAGCTTTATTTCTGTTAAGCCTAAATCTTGATTTACTGGGTGATCCAACAAAATCAGCAGTATGGAACCAAGTCTACATTGAACCCAATTGTACTGCAGCCTCTACATCTTTACTTTTTCTTTGCATTTTAATATTAATATTCGATAAATTCCATTCGATCATTAAGAGACCATTTGAATCGGACTTTGATACTCAAGACCCAACTTTTTCGTATTTATTTTGATTTGCAGAAATACTTCAAAAAAGTGGTTCGTGACTCGCATTATAGTACTTAATGGATAAGGTCTTTGAGAGCAAGGGAATATATATACATATACATATATATTATTTCTTATTGTTTTTGGAATAACTTCTTATAAGCAAGATACACATACACAAATAATAATAACAATGCAAAGTCGTATTTTCCCTGTTTTGCTGGCGACTGGCGTTGGTATTGCCACTGGTGTCTATGTATTCCAGCCATTGTTGAAAGAATACGAAGCGTAAGTTCTGGCACAAATACACACAGTATATATATATATATATATACGTCTTTATTTTGCTTTGCTTTGTTTTTTTTTAAAAAGTAAAATAAAATAAAATGAATTGAATTGAATTGAAATGACTCGCCTGTATTCATTTACTTCTTGCTTCTTGTTTATATCAAGCGAAACCAATGGAACTTGGATATTGCCTGGAAATGAGCAAACCACAAAACCTTTTGAAAACAAACCAAGAGTACCTGAACAAAAAGAAAGCACCGAAAAAGATTGAATTATGCTTATAAAATGATAATACACACTCTTTTTTGTTATTTTTGTTTTATTAATTAATTAAATAAACAATATATATATAATTAATATTTAATTTCATCTTGTTATTGGAATTGTAATTATCATTAGCATCATCGAATATAAATCCCATTCAGCATTTGATCTGATCATCGTGGTATTATTTGGCGCTGTTACTATGGCCGCTGTAATTATTTGAAACCAACGTAAATGTTACAAGTAACTAATACAAATATTGGAAATATACAAACCTGGGGTTATTTATTTATTTATATTATTATTGTTATTGTTTTTAAAATACTACTATATAAATAAACCGATGAGACTGCTTCCTTTCATAATAAGGAAGAAAGGGGGAAAAGCTTTGGCATCTAGAAAGAAAAGTCATACACACATATACATATACATATATATATATAATTTCTACATTCATTTTCTTTTTATATATATAGAATAAATACATAACAATGTCAAAACCTCAACCTGTTGCTGTGGAGACACCAAAAGAGAATGAACAAGATTATGAACAGAGCCATGTCCATGAAGTGTACGAAGTCATTGCAACCCATTTCAGCGATACCCGTTACAAGGTAATTATGTTTCAAAAAAAAAGTTCATTTACAAGAGCAATCTTCTTCCTATTTAAAAAAAAATAACCTTTACTTATCTATTTATCTACTGTAATTTTAATTAATTTTGATTTTGATTTTATTTTATTTTAAAAAACTTATTGTTATTGATTTGATAGCCTTGGCCAGTTGTGGAGAAATTCTTGACTGAATTGCCTACCGGAAGTATTGGTGCCGATGTTGGCTGTGGAAATGGTAAATATATTGGTGTGAACCCAAACGTTCTTGTTTTGGGATCAGATAGGTAATATATTTTTTCTTTTTTTTTTAACCATACACACAAACATACATAACATCTATAGATAATCAGAGTTTTATAAGCTAGAGAATCTTTATAATTATATATATATTTATATATTACTTTTTAATTTTAATAGAAGTAGCAACTTGATCAAAATTGTAAACGAGCGAGGATTGGAAGGAATGGTTGCTGATGGATTAACATTGCCCTATCGCCCGAATGCATTCGTAAGTACAATAAAGGTTTATCTTGTGCATTGGGGTAAGCCATCTAAACCATTTCTTTTGGTTTTATGTATTCAAGATAATTAATACATCTACTATAGGATTTTGCTATTTCCATCGCTGTCATTCATCATTTCTCGACTCCTGAACGACGACGCATGGCAATCGAGGTAAGAAACACAATTATATATAAAATTATATTGTGGATAATGTTCGTAAGACTTTCTCGGTACACATACATTATCATACTTTAATTAAAACATGGGTATATATATTAGGAACTTTTGCGTATCGTTCGTCCAGGTGGAAGAATATTAGTATTCGTTTGGGCTTTAGAACAAACCAAGTTCAGTAAACGTAATTTCGAGGTTGGAACACAAGATGTATTTGTTCCCTGGACATTATCGACAAAAGAACCGCGGATAGAGAACTCTGATAAAAAGGGTACAAAGGCAGAAGTAACTACTACAGTCTACAACAGGTAAGAAGAAGGAGAAGAGATTTATGGATATATTCGGTTATTACTTTCATTTATTTAAATATATATCAATGCACCTTCTCGTTGCTGCTATCACTATTATAATTTTATATAGATACTATCATTTATTCAAGCAAGGAGAGCTTGATGATCTTTTCCGACAGATTGATGGGGTGGTGATTGAAACGACAGGATACGATCGTGATAATCATTATGTGATTGCTCAGAAACCAGAGTAATATATTATGTATATATACGTGTGGAAAGAAATATCAACATATAAAAAATAAAAATAAAAACACACCTATCTCAGGTCTTTGCATATATTCAAACCATGTACTATCCGTGTATTGTTATTATTGTCATCTTGAAGAAAAAGGATATATTCAAGTAAAACCAATGTTTAATACTACATCTATCTTATACATAGTCAGTCGAGTCAGTCGAGTCAGTCGAGTCAGTCGAGTCAGTCGAGTCAGTCGAGTCAAGCGAGTCAGTCGAGTCGGTCGAGTCAAGCGAGTCAAGCGAGTCAGTCGAGTCGGTCGAGTCAAGCGAGTCAAGCGAGTCAGTCGAGTCGGTCGAGTCAAGCGAGTCAAGCGAGTCAAGCGAGTCAAGCGAGTCAGTCGAGTCGGTCGAGTCAAGCGAGTCAAGCGAGTCAGTCGAGTCGGTCGAGTCAAGCGAGTCAGTCGAGTCGGTCGAGTCAAGCGAGTCAGTCAAGTCAGTCGAGACCCCATCATAAAAAATTACTAAAATCCCTGATTTCATTTAATCAAATATATAAATAAATTTCTAGTAACCAACAATACCAAAGGAATCAAAAACATCAGAAAAGAAGATTAACGATAAAAATAAAACTAAATTGTCAACTCACACACTGACACAATCCTGATAGGGCCAATCAGTCAAGATTTAAGACTATACTACGAAGGTAAAATATTTGGTGCATTACATATTGTTAGTACCAAAGAAGTGAATCGCAATGGATATCTAGGTAAACTAATTATATAGCCACTGGGTCTTGAATTTTAAAGGTTTTTGATGGTTTATTATTGGCTGCCAATAAAGCAATACGAAGTACACAAGTGCATAGTATGTGTGTATTATACCTGAGATGTTTACTAAGTCAGGTTTATCAGCAATGATATAGTCTCCTCTGGATCCTGATATATTTGTTTATTTAATCGTAAAGTGTATAATTAAGCAAGAGTTAGTTTACAAGTTAATTTCTAAAGTGATAATACCTGAGACAGCATCATATGACTAACTCTACAGAGGATTTAAATCATACTTAATACTACGGCAATGATCTCACCAGTCATTAACCAACAACAACCTTAAACCCAGGAAGCAAATATTCATATCTTATAAACAATTAGGATCTGTATTTCTTAAACAAACAACACTCTCACTGTACCTATTACTATCTTACAAGTTTATTCGTTTACCTCAGCAGGTATTTCAGCTCTTGAATAAACTGTTCGTATAAACATGTTAATCAACAGAGCCTTTCAGTAGCCACAAAATGACCAAATGCACTAACCGAGAAACCAGCCCAAAATACCACCAAACCTTTCTCTAACTTCATTGGAGAAACTATACGGGGGTTTTTTTTAATTAGGAAACATTCTTATGGATGGTGTCAGAATCATTGTCTTTTAACATAAGCGAGAACCTATCTAAGAATTTTACTCTATCTCCAGTCTTCCACTGGAATATTAACTCTAGATCTTACCAAACGAAGCATATTATTTGATTGTGTAGATACCACTTTGACCAATATACTGAGACGTAATAAGCAAAGCCGTTTGCAGAAAAGTTTTTTTATAACAATATCGTAACAAACGGCTGTACTGATTTTAACTTTTGTTTTTAAAAAAAGCTACTTTGGCGATACCTATACAGCTCGCACTCAAACAAAGGGTAATATTGTTAGTATCATGTAGTATATATGGTCTCTATTGACTATGATTTTAGTCAAGTGTTCCAATGTTAGTTTCTTCTTATATCTTGATGATGTTTTCAATTGTCGTATAAGGGATGCCTGATTCGTCTCTCTGGAATTATCGTCTTTACGAAAAGCAATAGTGTCTTACATAAAAAGGTGAATGACTGATGACAAAGTATTTTTTCTTATACACATTTTGTTAATGCCGAAGTGTTAATTAATGTAGGAATGTAGCTTTCGTGTGAAATGTAAGAAAGGTGTAATAAAGAAAGAACTCTACTTTTGATTGATAACAAATATTTGTTTTTTGAATGTGTACTACTGTTTTTTTTACTCAAAATAATACATTGTACCACAAAACCAAAAAGAAATAAATTAGAACCTCAGTTTGAAATAACACAAATTTATATCTTTGTGCTTTATGTAATTCAACTAAATGTTTGATTATCTTGCGTTCTAGTAATTCGTTTTTGCTGAAAACAAGTGCATTAAAGAGCTAGAGACGATAAAAAACGAGTGGAATAAGAGGCGCGGCGGGCTTTTAAATAAATCGAATATTCGGAGTATGAATTAGCTTGAAAATTGAAATCCGCTACTTACTCCTGCAGTGGGAAAGTGTTGTTTTCAGTCTCCATTCGAGTAGTATTAAAAGACAGAATAGATACCATTAGGGTGTTTTAAATGGAAATATTTCCATCGGCGAGTGTAAAAGGTAAGTCAGCTTCAAAAAGGATTCCGAAACTAGTGAAGTATATGTAAAAAATATGTAAATCAAAAAGCTTCAAAAGGTTTCTTTTAGATTTTTAAAAGTTGATTATTTTTTACAGAACTTTACGTAAGGAAGTTCAGTAATATATTTTTATATTAGATGTTATTAGCTAATTAATAGAGTATGGATAGAAAATAAAAACCTTGAATTCTTCAAGATCTTTAAACTTGAAACACCCTATTTTATCAGACACGGATTTAATATGAAATGTCAAATTGAACAATATGCTCCCTGGTTAAGAATTGTAAAGATAGACGAAAAAGAAAATATATCCTTATTATAAGAGCTGTATCTTATCAGGTTTAATAAAATATATATGTTTATTTGATTTATATAAGATTTTCAAATATATTTAACTGAAATAAAACAAAACTAAGAATCTTATCAACTAAGAATTTAATAATTTTATTTGATGTTGGAATATCAAGTTTTATTGAAAAATAAAAAAAAAAGGAAAACACTATTATACAAAAAACACTTAACAACTTATTGAGAACAAGTATACATTCTAAATATCAGTTAAATATTGGATATTATCAATAATAATAATAATGAAAATAAAATCCAAAGAAAAATAAAAAAAAATATAATTAAATATTAAAAACAATTTATCCTTCACTTGTTTATTGAATTTTTTAAACATCTGCTTTGATTTGATTAAATCAAATCCGTTTTTATATAAATTTATTTTATTTATAGACACGGAGTCTTTGTTCCCTTTAATTCTCTCTGATATTTGTTTATTCTTATTGTGTTTAAAGAAGACATTGCAATTGCGATTTATATCAGTTTACTCTTATGATACCCCTGACTTAAACAATCGATATATATATTGAAGATTGTTCTGTAATATATACTTTTCTTTGATTGTATTCTATATGTTTGATTATTTCTAAGAACATCTCTAACAATCAGATAATTTTATCTTTTCTTAAAATCAAACATCACAACTCTAGATAAAAAAATCACTTCACCCATCAGTTCAATTTAGTTTTTTTTTTAACATAAATTATGGGAGTATTTGCATCAATAAATTTTAAATCCTTGTCGAAGTTGGCACAAAGATAAAAAAAAAGGCTATATTTTTTCCATAAAATAAAATAATTCAGACTTGTGAATATAACGCTTTACCAAACTTTTATATTTCAGATAGAAGCTGATATAAATTTGACTGTTTGAGATATGCGAAGATAACAAATTTTAAAATAAAATATATAGAGCAAATAAAAATAAAATGTTGATAATTAATATAAACGAAGAAGAATAATTAAAGGTGGCTTGTACTAGTTTAAAAGCCTTGATTAATACAATAAAAAGAGAACCTGGTTTGGTCGGGTAAAATTCAATATATATATATATTATAGTCATTATATATGTATCCGATTAGTTCCTGTGCTTACTTTAAATATAGTTCAGAAGATAAAAAGATTGTGAGGTTACACGTAGATAGCAAATAGCAAAAACATATTTTATAAAAACATATAAATATAATAATATAGTTTGTACTTAAACTATAAACTCTGAGCCACTTTACTATACTCAGACATTTTCTTATAATAAACCATGTGTTTCACAATTGAATACATATACATCACAGATATATATCATTTTCGGTAATGTTTTCCGTAATATCTGAGTTAGTACTCACTTGAAGCTGCTAACAGTCCAAATTGGGAATTATAATAGAGGTCGCAAATCACATAAATACGGTGTACACATAAATGTTACCTAAACAGTTCTTTTGTGTACATTATACTTTTCCTACAAATGGCCTGATGTTTTTGTTTAATAAAACACAAAGCCTTATATGAAGTAGTCGCACTTTATTAAACGAGTGAATCTAAGTCAAATTATGTAGTAGCATATATCAAATGTTGCTTGTTGAAATTTTTAAATATGAGTAAGAGCGTCATTGGGATCGAAGAAGGTGTCGGAATTATGGTGGTATGAATACTATATGACTTGGAGAGTTGAAGGTCAGCTCTGAGAATGGTGACATATAACACTTTAGGTATAGAGAAATATTGTATATGACTTCCGAGTGTTGAGGTTTTATTATATGGCCATTATTTCGATTTTTATTTTTCAGTGATTATAAAATAAAAGAATAATATTGTTGGTGGTGGCGATTCTGGTAGTTTTGTAAAGTTGATGGCGGGATGGTGGGATGGCGGGATGGAGGGAATGTAGGAAGAGGATTGACGCCATCGTTAAATAGAATTTTTATTTTATTTTGGTTACGGCGCAGTGAAGGCCACTTTAATATACCGTCCTCTCTGGGCGATTGTAAGTGATCACAAGACGGTCTTTCAACCTATGTATGGGTAACAGTATCCCTGTCAATGGACCCTGCTATGTTCCTTTAGCTTAGGGATACACAAAGCTGTCTGCGCAACCAATTGGTAATACCAATTTACAAAAAAGTGCATTCTGTCCGAATTATCGAGTAGAATCCTTAGGTTGTAAAAAGACACAAAAAGAAATAGACAATATGTATATTTTGTATCAGTGCAGCAATTGTATTGGTAGACAATTGGGCGAGTGTGCGAGTGTGCGTATGTGCGTATGTGCGTGTGTGCGTGTGTTGGATAAAAGAAAAGAAAAATATATGATAGTAAGCCCAAAATATGATAGCAGGTTATATATATATAGTTTGGGAGTAGCTTCTGGTGTGTAACCGTATATTGAATAAAAGGAAAATAAATATATATGATAGTGTATCCAAAATATGATAGAGGCTCGTATATATATATATTTTGGGAGTAGCTTTTGGTGTGTGTCCGTGTGTTGAATAATAATAATAAAATATACAAGATAGTATATCCAAAATATGATAGAGGCTCATATATGTATATAGTTTGGGAGTAGCTTCTGGTGTGTGCCAGTGTGTTGAATAATAATAATAACATATATAAGATAATATAATCCAAAACATGATAACAGTTTATATATATTTAGTTCGAAAGTTACTTTTGGTTTATGAATATCACCCTTTTCATTTTGACTTGGTAATATTTTTTTGTAG